GAGAGAGGCCTGTAATTTTCATCATAGGTACACGTCAACTATGACAGACAAATTGAGAGAAAAAAATCCAGAAAATCACATTGTAGGATTTTAATGAATTTATTTGCAAATTATGGTGGAAAATAAGTATTTGGTCACCAACAAACAAGCAAGATTTCTGGCTCTCACAGACCTGTAACTTCTTCTTTAAGTGGCTCCTCTGTCCTCCACTCGTTACCTGTATTAATGGCACCTGTTTGAACTTGTTATCAGTATAAAAGACACCTGTCCACAACCTCAAACAGTCACACTCCAAACTCCACTATGGCCAAGACCAAAGAGCTGTCAAAGGACACCAGAAACAAAATTGTAGACCTGCACCAGGCTGGGAAGACTGAATCTGCAATAGGTAAGTAGCTTGGTTTGAAGAAATCAACTGTGGGAGCAATTATTAGGAAATGGAAGACATACAAGACCACTGATAATCTCCCTCGATCTGGGGCTCCACGCAAGATCTCACCCCGTGGGGTCAAAATGATCACAAGAACGGTGAGCAAAAATCCCAGAACCACACGGGGGGACCTAGTGAATGACCTGCAGAGAGCTGGGACCAAAGTAACAAAGCCTACCATCAGTAACACACTACGCCGCCAGGGACTCAAATCCTGCAGTGCCAGACGTGTCCCCCTGCTTAAGCCAGTACATGTCCAGGCCCGTCTGAAGTTTGCTAGAGTGCATTTGGATGATCCAGAAGAGGATTGGGAGAATGTCATATGGTCAGATGAAACCAAAATAGAACTTTTTGGTAAAAACTCAACTTGTCGTGTTTGGAGGACAAAGAATGCTGAGTTGCATCCAAAGAACACCATACCTACTGTGAAGCATGGGGGTGGAAACATCATGCTTTGGGGCTGTTATTCTGCAAAGGGACCAGGACGACTGATCTGTGTAAAGGAAAGAATGAATGGGGCCATGTTTCGTGAGATTTTGAGTGAAAACCTCCTTCCATCAGCAAGGGCATTGAAGATGAAACGTGGCTGGGTCTTTCAGCATGACAATGATCCCAAACACACCGCCCGGGCAACGAAGGAGTGGCTCCGTAAGAAGCATTTCAAGGTCCTGGAGTGGCCTAGCCAGTCTCCAGATCTCAACCCCATAGAAAATCTTTGGAGGGAGTTGAAAGTCCGTGTTGCCCAGCGACAGCCCCAAAACATCACTGCTCTAGAGGAGATCTGCATGGAGGAATGGGCCAAAATACCAGCAACAGTGTGTGAAAACCTTGTGAAGACTTACAGAAAACGTTTGACCTGTGTCATTGCCAACAAAGGGTATATAACAAACTATTGAGAAACTTTTGTTATTGACCAAATACTTATTTTCCACCATAATTTGCAAATAAATTCATAAAAAATCCTACAATGTGATTTTCTGGATTTTTTTTCTCATATTGTCTGTCATAGTTGACGTGTACCTATGATGAAAATTACAGGCCTCTCTCATCTTTTTAAGTGGGAGAACTTGCACAATTGGTGGCTGACTAAATACTTTTTTCCCCCACTTTATACCTATGAAGCAGTATGTAAATATTATTAAAGTGACTAGTGTTCCATTATTAAAGTGGCCAGTGATTCCATGTCTATGTATATAGGGCAGCAGCCTCTAAGGTGCAGGGTTGAGTAACCGGGTGGTAGCCGGCTAGTGATGGCTATTTAACAGTCTGATGGCCTTGAGATTGAAGTTGTTTTTCAGTCTCTCGGTCCCAGCTTTGATGTACCTGTACTGACCTCGCCTTCTGGATGGTAGCGGGGTGAACAGTACGTGGCTCGGGTGGTTGATGTCCTTGATGATGCCGTCTGGGCCTTCCTGTGACATCAGGTGCTGTAGGTGTCCTGGAGGGCAGGCAGTGTGCCCCCGGTGATGCGTTGTGCAGACCGCACCACCCTGTGGAGAGTCCTGTGGTTGCGGGCGGTGCAGTTGCCATACCAGGCAGTGATACAGCCCGACAGGATGCTCTCAATTGTGCATTTGTAAAGGTTTGTGAGGGTCTTAGGGGCCAAGTCAAATTTATTCACCACACTGTCTGTGTGGGTGGACCATTTCAGATTGTCAGTGATGTGTATGGCGAGGAACCTTCTCCACTGCGGTCCCGTCGATGTGGATAGGGGCGTGCTCCCTCTGCTGTTTCCTGAAATCCACCATCAGCTCCTTCGTTTTGTTGACATTGAGGGAGAGGTTATTTTCCTGGCACCACTCCACCAGGGCCCTCACCTCCTCCCTGTAGGCTGTCTCGTCATTGTTGGTAATCAGGCATACTGCTGTTGTGTCATCTGCAAACTTGATGATTGAGTTGGAAGCGTGCGTGGCCACGCAGTCATGGGTGAACAGGGAATGCATGAGGGGGCTGAGCACGCCTCTGTGTTGAGGATCAGCGAAGTGGAGGTGTTGTTTCCTACCTTCACCACCTGGGGGCAGCCCGTCAGGAAGTCCAGGACCCAGTTGCACAGGGCGGGGTTCAGACCCAGGGCCCCGAGCTTAATGATGATCTTGGAGGGTACTATGGTGTTGAAGGCTGAGCTATAGTCAATGAACAGCATTCTTACATAGGTATTCCTCTTGTCCAGATGGGATAGGGCAGTGTGGAGTGCGATGGTGATTGCATCGTCTGTGGATCTATTGGGGTGTTATGCAAATGTAAGTTTGTCTAGGGTGTCATGTAAGGTAGAGGTGATATGATCCTTGACTAGTCTCTCAAAGCACTTCATGATGACAGAGGTGAGTGCAACGTGGCTATAGTCATTTAGTTCAGTTACCTTTGCTTTCTTGGGTACAGGAACAATGGTGGCCATCTTGAAGCATGTGGGGACAGCAGACTGGGATAGGGAGAGATTGAATATGTCCATAAACACACCAGCCAGCTGGTCTGCGCATGCTCTGAGGACTCGGCTAGGGATGCCTTCTGGGCCGGCAGCCTTGCGGGGGTTAACCTGCTTAAATGTCTTACTCACATCGGCCACAGAGAAGGAGAGCCCACTGTCCTTGGTAGTGGGCCGCGTCGGTGGCACTGTGTTATCCTCAAAGCAGGCGAAGAAGGTGTTTAGCTTGTCTGGAAGTGAGACGTCGGTGTCGGCGACCTGGCTGGTTTTCCTTTTGTAGTCAATGATTGTCTGTTGACACTGCCACATATGTCTCCTGTCTGAGCCGTTGAATTGCGACTCCACTTTGTCTCTATACTGATGTTTTGCCAGTTTAATTGCCTTGCGGAGTGAGTAGCTACACTGTTTTTATTCTGCCATATTCCCAGTCACCTTGCCATGGTTAAATGCGGTGGTTCGCGCTTTCAGTTTTGCACGAATGCTGCCATCTGTCCACGGTTTCTGGTTAGGGTAGGTTTTAATAGTCACAGTGGGCTCAACGTCTCCTATACATTTCCTGATAAACTCAGTCTAAATATTCATCACAAGCTACCTGGAACGTATCCCAGTCCGCGTGATCAAAACAATCTTGAAGCGTGGATCCGATTGATCAGACCAGCGTTGAATAGTCCTTAGCATGGGTACTTCCTGTTTGAGTTTCGAAAAACCAAATACCGCAACATTTCCTAAGAGCTAGTCGTGAGGCCGCCATCTTCGTCGGCGCCAGGTCATTTTATATTAATAACACCTTCAAGTTGTTGTATTTACTTTATTTTTACTGCAACTTTAGGCAAAGTGCAGAAATGTATTCTTGCCAATCTCCATTATGTCCACAGACCCGGTGGTGCAGCAGGTACTTCAGGTAGCTAGCAACCATGAGGTTGTGAGGTTGACTCCCAAGTAATCAGCATACAGCAGCATACTGTCCTTTAACATTAACACCTGAATTTAGCTGTAAAAATACTGTAGCTAGTTGTAGATTTACTATATTTTCACCACAACTAGACAAAAACCAACAGGGAACCATGACACAATGTTCTAAGAATGTCCTAAAAACGTCCTTGGGGACGTCCCTGGAACAAACCGGGAACTAGACAAAACCTGCATGACTGTTTAAATTGAATTAATGTAAATTATGCCTTTCAAAGTAAAATATTGTAAATTACATTTGACACCTGGGTTGTAAATTACATTATGACATGTTGAAATTGTGCATCCCCATGTTGTCACATTTATTTCACATGAGATCGTGTTTTCATTTGCGCACATGTTATCACGTTGACATTTTTTATCCCCATGTTGTCATTTTTTAAACATAAAATTCACGAGATCATGTACTCACGTGCTTACATGTTATCACGTGTAATTTTTATTTATCACATGTTGTCACATGTTATGACATTAACTTAACATTAAATCACATGTGATCACGAGATCACACAAGATCATGTGTTCACATGTAAAATTCACGTGTTTTTTCTGTAAGGGCAACCAAGCAGCTGATATATGGGAAATAGGAAGGAATCTTTTCCATCATGTATTCTAGAACTGCCATGTCAACAGAAATTGATGTTTTCTAGCATTCCATTGTCATTGGTTGCTATGCTATTCTCCTCTCAACTGGTATTGGCTAATGGAATGTTGTTTTGATGATTGTGATTGGAACAGTCTTTAATCTTTCCTAAGCCATCATATAATAATAATAATAATAATATGCCATTTAGCAGACGCTTTTATCCAAAGCGACTTACAGTCATGCGTGCATACATTTTTACGTATATCATCAGTCTGTTGGTCTGTTTGTGTTTTGATGAACATCAATTAGTATATTTTTACCATTATGTTGTGTTCTTACATAGCACTCATTCTTTTGTGATGGTCTTAGCCCCCTGTTTGACTGATGGCCTTGCCCCATGCTCTTGGCTGTAGTTATTCTCATTTTATTTTTCATTTTTTATTAAACTTTTGTTTAACCAAAAAAAGCCCATTGAGGCAAAGTCTCTTTTGCAAGGGAGACCTGGCCAAGAAAGCACCAGCAGTCAATACGTCATTTAGCATCATTTAGCACTATCATTCAGAGAGTGTCTCTTGTTGTGTTGTTTTCTCCAGTGAAGTCCCAGACGGCCCACCCCAGAGGAACCCAGAGACAGTTCTCTCACTCTGCTGCTGCAGACAAATCAGCCTCCATGATCAATGGCAGGAGTCAGCTCTCCACAGAGGTACACCACCTTACCATAACTCACGCGATTGATGATATGGTATTTGAGCAGATACTTTATTGATCTATTTATCGGTTGTTCTCTCTCTCTCTCTCTCTCTCTCTCTCTCTCTCTCTCTCTCTCTCTCTCTCTCTCTCTCTCACTCAGGTGGATGACCTCAAGGCTAAGGTCAGTGTTGCCGGGGTAACACTGACTGACAGCAGCGTGTGGAACACAGTGGACTCAGAGGTCCTCCTCCTACAGGCCACCGACACTCCTCCACCCCTACCTTCCTTCGGACTAGAGGAACAACAGTCCCCCTTCGTCTCTCCTTCTCCCTTGCCCTCCCTCGCTGACCGAGCCCTCGCCCGACTCAACAGCCAATCCCACTCATACCTAACCAATCAGAGAGGGAGCCCACCTCTGGAGTCACCTAACCTCAGGTATCAAGCTCATTCATGCGACCCCCTGTTACTCAAGGCATTGGGTTTCTTTTTAGATCAAGAGAAGTTCTCTTTCAAATATTTGTTTCGATATCTCTCGTGGGATATGGCCAACTCCCTTATCGCAAACATGCTCTCCGAAGCCAGGTAGTCTCAACGTATCAATCCTCACAGGCCACGAAACTGAGGACAGTATGTACCAATTAAGGTGCAGTGACGTCTAGCCAGTAGAACCTCACAAAAGTATTAGGGGATGCCCAACAAGCCGCATCACAAATCTCAGGCCCTCCCGAGGCTGTATCCCCTTTCTATTATAGGCCAATATAATAGCTTCCACAATCCAATGTAACAACCGTTGACAAGAGAGGGGCCTACCTTTGTGCAAAGCTCTTGTTCTATCCAAGTAAATGTGCGTACTGGACAAACGGTGGAGACGCTCTTCTTACGTACAAGGGAAGAGTGGCGGGTGGAAAACCACAAGCTCCAAGGCGAGACGATTGTAATTGCTGCTGACCTTACGCATAAAGGCGGGGTTGGAAAACAACGAAACCATGAAAAACCCTGGGCAAACTGTAGGCACGAATGGTGAACTGAAGGCATGCAGCTCGCTCGCTTTGCGGATGTAAGGGTGACCTGTAAAGTGGTCTTAAAGCAGAGCTATGTCATCTCCACGCTTTCCAGTGGCTCAAAAGGCTGCTGTGAAATAGCCTCAAGCACAATAGACGGATCCCAAGACGGGGCTAAAGGTTTGGAAACTGGACGTAAGCGACGAACCCCATTCGTGATACGACATAACAAGAAGTGTTTTCCCACCGTGTTATTGTCGAAGCCTATATGACAAGCCGCGATATCGACTAGATAGACCTTAACAGTGGAGAAGGCCTTTCCTCTGTCCAAAAGGTTGTGCAAAAAAGCATAAAACCTCGGATACAGAGCATTGGTAAGGAATGATCTGTTTTTGGTCACACCACTTCTCAAAAACACACCACTTGTTTCCATACAGTGAGCGTGTAGAAGGAGCCGTAGCACTCTGGATAGTCTCAATGACTCTGAGAGGCCGGCCTGTCGCATCCAGATTTAACCTCTCACGTCCGGGTGAGGGCAGAACATCTCTCTGTTCAATTGGCTTAGAAGTTCCCTGCATAATGGGAGTTGCCAGGGCTCGTCGTACAGCACGAGAATGATCTTCACTATCCAGAGCTTGCCTGTCCACTGAGGAGCTACTAAGATGAAGGAATATGCCTTCTTCCCTCCCCTCACTCTGACTAGAGTGGGGAGTATGAGGCTTAGAGGAGGAAAGGCGTAAAGCAACACCCCTGGCCAAAGGTGTGCCAGCGCGTCCACTCCCAGTGGTGTCTCCTGCTAGCGCGAAGAACAGCGGGCAGTCCGTGTTTTCGTGCGATGCGAAGACATCTATGGATGCTTGACCGTATCTCTCCCAGATCTGTTTTCACCACTTGGGGTAATTTATGTGAGCAATGTGGAATTGCGCCCCAGCCCGTGAGTGACGCGTCTGTTGCCACCACCATCCTCTTTGCCACTAACCCTAGGGGAGTGCCAGGAACGAAGATCGAAGGGCTCTTCCAGTGACGGAGAGCAGAGACACATGCGGATATCACATTTATCCGACGATTGAGGTGATGCCATGTACACACATTTTGGGCAAACACCCAGCGCTGGAAGTCTCTCATCCTCAGTAGTCCCAGTGGTACTACTGAGATGGTGGAAGCCATCAACCCAGCACTCTGAGTCATGTTCTGAACGTGACCGAGCACCCCGTTTGCCCTGGGAGAGGCACTGTCGGAACGACCTGATGTGGTTGTCCGAGAGGGTTGCGTGATAAGAGCGAAAAACCAGCATTACGCCTAGGTATTCTAGTTTCTGTATTGGCACCAAACAGCTCTTTATCTGATTGATCTTGAACCCTAGCTCTGAGAGGTGGCTTACAAGGGAAGTTGTGTCTTGTACTGCTCCCGGGCTGGGGAGCAAAGCAGGTAATGTAGGCGGAGACTCTAAACCCCTTGTTTCTCAGGGGTGTCAGAGCTGCCTCTGCACGTTTGCTGAACGTACGGGAAGCTAATGCTAGCCCGAAGCAAACCTTAGAAACCTTCTGTGTGCTGTCAGGATCAGGTCGACTGATGTGAACCAGTCACCTCAACGAATAGAGCGAGACAGTATATTGAACGTAAGCATACGGAATGTGAACTTTTTCAGATAGCCATGGAGGACCCATAGGTCCAGAATTGGGCGTACCCCTCCCCCTTTTTTGGGGAACCAGGAAGTACTGGGAGTAGAAGCCGAGGTTAGCTCTCTGCCACTGGTACCGCCCTGATAGCCTCTTTGCTTAATAGAGAGGAGATTTCCTGTTCTAATATGCGTGCCGAGTCGCCAGTCGCTATTGATTCCAAAACTGTTGAAAACGTGTGGTCTCAGAGTGAACTCCTGTCTGTACCCTTTCGTAACCATGGACCAGACCCAGGGCTGTACTGCGCATGCACGCCAGTTGCCTGCTCTTGTGGCATGTAGTGGTGATGTTACGTTTGATACCGGAACTCCAAGGCATGCGTTGAAATCGTTAAGCAGTTTACTTCGATGCAGTGTGCCGATGCTTGTATCACTTTATCAGAAGCACGTGATCAATGATGTCCGAAGCTTTGTTTTGTCGAACAACCACCTGATTGGTTTGGTATTGGTTTTGGTAGAAGACAAAAAAGCTACTCTGCACACGCGCTACAGCGTATGGGATGTCATCTATAATAATTTGGCTGTTCTAAATTATTTTGACCAGCAGGTGCCACTAGTGTACACTGTGTTGATCAAAGCCTCGTAATGAACCTATTTGACACAATTGCTGGGAAATGCTCAATGTTTCAGGAAGCTTAGTTTCCTGATCACTAGTGTGTAGCCCACAGGTCGGTAGACTCTCGCTCACCAGTGGTGCCGGAGCACCTTCTTGAGGCGATGGAGTGAGTTGCCCTTTCATTGTATTTTTGCTCTGTTTGGGGGGGGGGGGGGGGGGGGGGGTGTTGTGGCACACAGGGCACTCGGGGGTAGAGTGGATTCCCTCTGATTTCCTTAAGAGTGAAAGCATGGAAGTGGGTCGATGCACAAAGGAAAGGGTTCTAGGATCACAGATGTGCCTCGCCCCCATTGTAATGGGGTGTGGGGGGAAGTCTGTTCTCCACCTGAGAGGTGGCAGGGGCGTACCCCTAGGTCGTCGCACTTTCTTCCCCATAGGGGAATTAGCTGGGCGGGACCTCTGTGGCTGCAGCGAAGGACCATTTTCCCCACTGTCGGCCCCTGTTTGGGGATCTGAACTGTGGGATCGAAGCCCGCTGCATCGCTGGGGACGTCGCGTGGAAGGCCCTGGTGCCAGCGAATTGCCCTCTCCCTGCCGTGATACCCTGGCTCGCCAAGGTTCCCGGGTCTACGGGGAAGGCAGAAGTTGACGGCTTCGCACTCCTGCCACATGGTGGCGACAGTTCCTTCAGCTCGACAGGAGCGTCAAGGAAATCTGCTTTCTCTTTGTCCGAAAGGCTGGACAAGTTGAGCCACAAGGTTCTCTCCCCCACCACTGCATGTCTCATGGCACGGCCACAGCCTTGAATGGTGCCTCTGGAGGCTCGGAGATTGAGGTCTGTGACGATACAGATCTCACCCCAAAGGTCTGTGTTAGGCTTGCCAACAGCTAGGAGATTATGCATCTCCAGCATCAAAATAGGCCTGGTAGGCCAGCAGTAGGGACGTAACATTCAAAGCCTGTACAGAACGTACGGCAGACACGTAGACCTTTTGGTAGATGGACACCGGTGGCTTGCCGAGGCCCAGCCTCTCCATGTTTTGACATTCATGTTGGCATAAAGTCTGGTTTTGGCTTTGCCGGTCAACTGTTTGTCCCAGTTACATTTGGCTTCTGCCACACAAGCTGGGATGGTTGGGAGGAGTTGCTTGCCTGGGACGGTGTGGGAGGGGAGTTTTCTCCCGTCGTACCAGTCGTTCTCTGCGCTGCCACCCCTCTCGGTTTCGGGCCACTCAATGCTGAGTCTGGCCACTGGCCGTTTGCAGACATCGATGAGTGAGTATCTGTCATCTGCCATCAATGCGTCGCTAATGGCGGAAGAGGGCCTAGAGGTAAGAGCTTGCGCCTTCTGTTCCTCCTCCGCTGCCTGAAGGAGGTTGGTCATGCCCTCGCTATCGTCGTCGTCGATAACGAGGTCCCCTTCCCCTACCCCCTCCTCTGCAGCCAAGCCCTGGAAGAGTGGGTGAAGGCCCTCGGTATAGACATCCAAGACATCGGCCCATGAGGTCTAGGTCTGGGTCTGTGAGGTAGTCTCCCCGCTCGAAGGCAGTGCGGGACACGAACCACGCTGAGCTGCTCTGCACTCTCTCTGACGAAGGGTGTTAGCAGGAAAAACCCTACAATGGACACATGACTGCGGGTCGTTGAACGCCGCTTCCTTGCCTGATATGGTTGTCTCGCATGGACACGGGTGTGCCAGTGCTGGGGTAGGGGCCGGATCTTTGCTCGGTGTCCCTTGGGCCAAGCTAGCAGGCTCCATGGCTCCCAAAAACAGCTAATCCGAGAACAAAGTGAAACGTAACTAGCATTCGCCACGTGGGCTAATAGCCTAGCTAGTTAGCACAGTGCTAGCTGGAGAAAGCTAATCCTGTGCAGTCAAAAACGTAATTTTACTGTGTTTTATATATATTTCCACACTATGAGGTTGGAATAATACTGAAAAATATGATAATACACTTTGAGTGAAACTGTTTGAAAAGAGTGCCTGAAATTTCAGCATGTTTTGGTGGGATGGAGTTTTTGCCTTCCATTGTTTCTTTTTACCATTTTAATTTAAAACAGTAAGGTACTTAATTGTTATCCAGAAATGATTTGATATTGAGATAGAAACGGCTGCATTGGACCTTTTACAATGTGAACGTAGCTAGCGTTCACCTTGTGGGCTAGTAGCTTAGCTAGTTAGCACAATGTTAGTCAAAGGAAGCTAGCACTTTGTTAGTCTTGCAATGAACAAAAGTATGGCTCTCGACCGATAAGCAGTGAAGCTAGGACGGTCGGTCTAGTCAACGCGGCACAGTAGTGGGTTGAGCTAAACGAGAGAGAGAGCTAGTAATTCTACCCTTCCAGGTAGAAAAGCTAGTTGGTAGAATAGCAAGTCTTGTGGCATACTAGCCAGGTTAGCTGAGGAGAGCTTAGAAAATAGTACTCTTCATGATGAAGAGAGGTGAGAATGACCAGAGGGCGGGCGAGTGGCTCCTTATAATGATGGGAGGGGCTCACCTCATTCGCCACTCTACGACAGACATGTGTGAGGTTCCTCGAGCTTCTGAGATTCTGGTGAAACCCACATGTGAGATATTGAAATGAATAATTGAAAGATAAACTATGTTATTATGTCTATTTGTTATGTATGTACCTGTTAACCAACAGGTGTCAACAATAAAATTGCTTAAAACATTTAGATTAAAGTAGTTCAAGAGCGTTGAGATATCATATCAGCATTGTTGACTGAAAGAAACCAAAAGTGCTGCATCACAGTTGCGTGTTACTGTACTGCGATAATAAACTGAAGATTACAGTTGAAGTTGGAAGTTTACATACACTTAGGTTGGAGTCATTTAAACTCGTTTTTCAACCACTCCACAAATTTCTTGTTAACAAACTATAGTTTTGGCAAGTCGGTTAGGACATCTACTTTGTGCATGACACAAGTAATTTTTCCAACAATTGTTTACAGACAGAATATTTCACTTATAATTCACTGTATCACAATTCCAGTGGGTCAGAACTTTACATACACTAAGTTGACTGTGCCTTTAAACAGCCTGAAAAATTACAGAAAATGATGTCATGGCTTTAGAAGCTTCTGATAACCTAATTGACATAATTTGAGTCAATTGGAGGTGTACCTGGGGCGGCAGGTAGCTTAGTGGTTAAGAGCCTTGTGCCAGTAACCGAAAGGTCGCTGGTTCTAATCCCCGAGCCGACTAGGTGAAAAATCTGTCGATGTGCCCTTGAGCAAGGCACTTAACCCTAATTGCTCCTGTAAGTCGCTCTGGATAAGAGCGTCTGCTAAATGACTAAAATGTAAATGTAAATGTACCTGTGGATGTATTTCAAGGCCTACGTTCAAACTCAGTGCCTCTTTGCTTGACATCATGGGAAAATGAAAATAAATCAGCCAAGACCCCAGAAAAAATATTGTAGACCTCTACAAGTCTGGTTCATCCTTGGGAGCAATTTCCAAATGCCTGAAGGTACCACGTTCATCTGTACAAGCAATAGTATGCAAGTATAAACACCATGGGACCACGTAGCAGTCATACCGCTCAGGAAGGAGACGCGTTCTGTCTCCTAGAGATGAACGTACTTTAGTGCGAAAAGTGCAAATCGATTACAGAACAACAGCAAAGGACCTTGTGAAAATGCTGAAGGAAACAGGTACAAAAGTATCTATATCCACAGTAAAACAAGTCCTATATCGACATAACCTGAAAGGCCGCTCAGCAAGGAAGAAGCCACTGCTCCAAAACCGCCATAAAAAAGCCAGACTACGGTTTGCAACTGCAAAGATCATACTTTTTGGAGAAATGTCCTCTGGTCTGATGAAACAAAAATAGAACTGTTTGGCCATAATGACCATCGTTATGTTTGGAGGAAAAAGGGGGTACTTGCAAGCCGAAGAACACCATCCCATCCGTGAAGGACGGGGTTGGCAGCAACATGCTGTGGGGGTGCTTTGCTGCAGGAGGGACTGGTGCACTTCACAAAATAGATGGCATCATGAGGAAGGAAAATTATGTGGATATATTAAAGACATCAGTTAGGAAGTTAAAGCTTGGTCTCAGATGGGTCTTTGAAATGGACAATGACCCGAAGCATACTTCCAAAGTTGTGGCAAAATGGCTTAAGGACAACAAAGTCAAGGTATTGGAGTGGCCATCACAAAGCCCTGACCTCAATCCTATAGAAAAGTTGTGGGCAGAACTGAAAAAGTGTGTGCGAGCAAGGAGGCCTACAAACCTGACTCAGTTACACCAGCTCTTTCAGGAGGAATGGGCCAAAATTCACCCAACTTATTGTGGGAAGCTTGTGGAAGGCTACCCGAAACGTTTGACCCAAGTTAAACAATTTAAAGGCAATGCTACCAAATACTAATTGAGTGTATGTATACTTCTGACCCACTGGGAATGTGATGAAAGAAATAAAAGCTGAAATATATAATTCTCTCTACTATTATTCTGACATTTCACATTCTTAAAATAAAGGGGTGATCCTATCTGACCTATGACAGGAAATGTTACTAGGATTAAATGTCAGGAATTGTGAAAAACTGAGTTTAAATGTATTTGCCTAAGGTGTATGTAAACTTCCGACTTCAACTGTAAATGTTATGTAAGATTACATATATTGTTAGTTCTTACCTGAACAAATATATTAAGTATTTTCTCATAGTGTGAGGCTTTCTCTATGTGGATACTGTAGTGTATTCAGATAGTCTCGATCCCATACTGTATGTGATGTAGCCAATTTATCTACTTTTACCTTGGGCCAGCTGTTGGTTTCAGCACTTAGAGTATGGATACGAGGAGGCTGTAGTAATAATATAATAAATGCCATTTAGCAGACACTTTTATCCTAAGCGACGTACAGTCATCTGTGTACACATTTTACGTATGGGTGGTCCTTGGAATCGAACCCACTATCCTGGCGTTGCAAGCCCCATGCTCAACCAATTGAGCTACAGAGGACCACCAGTGCGGTCGGATGAGCCTTTATGTTGACGTTCCCTCCTCTCTCTCTCTCCCTGACAGCCCCGGTCTGGTAGCTCTAGTGATTGACAGTGAGGAGGAGGGGGTTCTTGTGAAGTCTCCCCTCTCTCCCCTCTCTCCCCTGATCTTTGACCCTTGTAACAGCGGGGACGACATCTCCCCAGACCTCACCTGCACACGCACACACTCTGCCTCCTCAGCCGGCGACCCCACCCCCACAAAGGTACCAGGCAGAAGCTATCTTGTCCACCCTCACACACAGAGACTCACAAAAGAAATGTCATTGTTTCACTCCTCCTCCATTGACAATCTACTGACTATTCAAATGAAATGAAATCAAATTGTATTTGTCACATACACATGTTTTGCAGATGTTATTGCGGGTGTTGCAAAATGCTTGTGTTTCTAGCTCCAACAGTGCAGTATATCTAACAATTCCACTCCAAAGGAGGTTGTAAGGACCAATATATTAGGGCCTACTGTAAATCTAAAACGTATATAGCTCCTCACCATTGTGTTGACCTAAGTGTTTTGTGTTGTGTTGTATTTTTCCAGGATATGGGCGACCAGAGGATCAGACACCGCTCCTACTCCTACTCCTCCCCCAAGATCAGCCTGCTGCCCTCCCGCTTCTCCCGTGACACCTCAGCCCAGCCTGCGACATCTAACCTCAGCCCAGGTTAGTGTTCGTGGGACCTTTTACAGTTATTAACCCCCCATTGAGAAACCCTTCCTGAGAACTTTCCCACTAGGCACACAATGGTTGAATCAACGTTGTTTCCACGTCATTTTAATGAAATTACGTTAAACCAACCTTGAATAGATGTTGAATTGACGTCTGTGCCCAGTGGGTTATTACTTCGATTGGAAGAAAGGTGACAGGGTTTTCTGAGAACATGATGATATTGATTGTCCCATCGTTTGCAATGCCTACAGTTCTGATAAATACAGTTCTGATAAATACAGTTCTGATAAATACAGTTCTGATGAATGTTATAGCTGCATAACGGAGTAAGATACTCAACACTTTTTTTTATTAAAATATATTTTCCGTCAAATATTGATGGAATTATAGCACATAAACAATTGTATATTGAGAGACATAAAACCTATGGAATCCAGACATTTTGGTGTGACTTCAGGTATTCAATTGAATTTCAAATATACAGACAATATAATGACAAAGCAAAAACCGTTTTTAGAAATTTTTGCTAATGTATTAAAAATAAAAAACGGAAATATGACATTTACATAAGTATTCAGACCCTTTACTCAGTACTTTGTTGAAGCACCTTTGGCAGCGATTACAGCCTCGGGTCTTTTTGGGTATGACGCTATAAGCTTGGCACACCTGTATTTGGAGAGTTTCTCCCATTCTTCTCTGCAGATCCTCTCAAGCTCTGTCAGGTTGGATGGGGAGCGTTGCTGCACAGCTATTTTCAGGTCTCTCCAGAGATGTTCGATCGGGTTCAAGTCCGGGGTCGGGCTGGGCCACTCAAGGACATTCAGAGACTTGTCCTGAAGCCACTCCTGCGTTGTCTTGGCTGTGTGCTTCGGGTTGTTGTCCTGTTTCAAGGTGAACCTTTGCCCCAGTCTGAGGTCCTGAGCGCTCTGGAGCAGGTTTTTGTCAAGGATCTCTCTGCTCAGTTCATCTTTGCCTCGATCCTGACTAGTCTCCCAGTCCCTGCCGCTGAAAAACATCACCACAGCATGATATTGCCACCACCATGCTTCACCGTAGGGATGGTGCCAGGTTTCCTCCAGACGTGACACTTGGCATTCATGCCAAAGTGTTCAATTTTGGTTACATCAGACCAGAGAATCTTGTTTCTCATGGTCTGAGAGTCTTTAGATGCCTTTTGGCAAACTCCAAGCGGGCTGTCATGTGCCTTTTACTGAGGAGTGGCTTCCGTCTGGCCACTCTACCATAAAGGCCTGATTGGTGGAGCGCTGCAGAGATGGTTGTCCTTCTGGAAGGTTCTCCCATCTCCACTGAGGAACTCTAGAGCTCTGTCAGAGTGACCATTGGATTCTTGGTCACCTCCCTGACCAAGGCCCTTCTCCCCCGATTGCTCAGTTTGGCCGGGCAGGCAGCTCTAGGAAGAGTCTTGGTGGTTCCAAACTTCATCCATTTAAGAATGATGGAGGCCACTGTGTTCTTGGTGACCTTCAATGCTGCAGAAATATTTTGGTACCATTCCCCATATCTGTGCCTCGACACAATCCTGTCTCGGAGCTCTACGGACAATTCCTTCAACCTCATGCCTTGTTTTTTGCTCTGACATGCACTGTCAACTTTGGGACCTTCTATAGACAGGTGTGTGCCTTTCCAAATCATGTCAAATTAATTGAATTTACCACAGGTGGACTCCAATCAAGTTGTAGAAACATCTCAAGGATGAGCAATGGAAACAGGATGCACCTGACCTCAATTTCGAGTCTCATAGCAAAGGGTCACCGTGGCTTTCTCCCAAAGACGTGCAACATTACTTATTCATGATTGATGTGATCTATAATATTAAACACAAGGCGTAAATGTTTTGTACCATAATAGTACCCACCTGTTGTGAACATGAACATATCGCTCTAGAATTAACCAATGCATATAGGGGAAAGATAAAAAATTGCACAATTGATTTAGATATGTGGATTTGTCTGTCTGCTTTCTTTTCTGAGTGGCGAGTTCTGAGTGTTCATGTAGTTGCCGTGTCAGTGTGTTTAATCCCTATCGATATATCAACTTTGATAAACACGTGGGCCAAAACCTTTTAGTCCCATGTCAAAAATGTCTGACCATACCCCCATCCTTTTGAGACATTGTTTCACACTTTTCCCCGATAGTAAAGTCCAACAGAAAATGTGATTTGCAGAGGTAATTGTATGAATATTGTCAGTTTGAAAGCAATCTGTGAAGTGACAGTTAGTTGACAATTGGTTATCCACTTCTCAAACACAGCCAAATGAATGCTGAACAGAGCTGTATTCTCAGGTGGGCGTGGCTTGGGCCTTGCTACTATTTGACTAGGGCCCGTATCCACAAAGTGTCTGAGACTAGGATCTGTCCATATAATCATATTCATTGTGTAGTCCCCTGTAGCTCAGTTGGTAGAGCATGGCGCTTGCAACACCAGGGTTGTGGGTTCGTTTCCCACGGGGGGCCAGTATGAAAATGTAAGTCGCTCTGGATAAGAGCGTCTGCTAAACGACTAAAATGTCAAATGATCTAAAAGGCAAAACTGATCCTAGATCAGCACTCCTATTACGTTTGTGGATACAGGCCCTGGATTGAACTCAGCTGAGCTAGCCTGTCTCTCTTCACTTATTTGGTTTGTCATGGGAGTTTGGCTGGTACAGTAAGCAGTAGGCCTACTCTCTGTAGTTGGATGATCATGCTCTCTGTGTCGTCACTAACTAACTGTAGCCACTTCAGTAGATCGCCAACTACTGTTTATAGCTAACATGTAACTAACATGAAGGACCTCTGACCTTCTCATCCAATGGGTTTTGAGAAGGATGCGAGGAGAGAGGTCGCAAGGAATTAAGGAAATGCAATTGAGATTTTCCCCCTACATGGCTCTGGTCACATCCTTGCCTCCCTCTGTTCCTTTGAGTGGCCTAGTGAGTGCTATGTCCACTCTACCCTGTAGATGGCGTTTTCCACAGTGTGAGCCACAGCCGGTTTCGCCTGCAGGCCCTCTCTCTGTCTAAATCTCTGTCTCTACTCCACCCTTCTAGTAAGTACAGCTTACCTTAGATCCTCTATCTATCCATCACTCGCTCTGTGCTAACACCAGGCATGGCAGGCATGTGGCTACTGTGTGTGGTGCATAGGTATGTAGGTGTGCTTGTATGTCAGTGTTTATGTAGGGTGAGGGCATAGGTAAGTGCATCGGCTGACTAGGCTATCCTGCCAAATCACAGCGTAAGCTCAGCGTTGCTGGGTTGTGGGTAGGGGGGGGGTCAGACTTGATTGTGTCGATTGATTTTCATCCATAATGTTGCTCATGCTGTTTCATTTCACACAGAGGGTTCATGTCTGTCTTGTCCTCCACAGAACAGAGAGAGTTCAGCCTATCAAAGCAGACTCAAGAAAAAAGGTGTGTATCCACTGACGTAGTGTGTTTGTCTAAAGTGAGTCTGACATTTTTACGGTTCCATACAGTTTTCCCCTAATTCCCAGGCTCTCCAGCCTTCACCATGACTACTTGGTTAGTTACCGGGCGACCGAGGGTTCTCTCTCTTTTGTGGAGTCCCTGGTTGTCTTTATATCAAGACAAGGGGTGGCAGGTAACTTAGAGAGGCTAGCCAGCAACCGGAGGGTTGCCAATTCGAATCCCGGGTCCGACTTGAAAAATCGAGCGGGAAGTGCGCTGGCAACTGGATGGTTGCTGACATAAAATCCTACATGCCGTTGTGCCCTTGAGCAAGGCACTTAAACCCCCACAATAACAGCTCTTTGTTTAACTCCAGGCTTTGTTTGTATAACTCTGTTACTGTGCCACAGCTTGTAGGGCTGTTTTAACCTTGTGTCACAGGTAGGGGTGTAGAGATATGACTAAACTGTAAGCCCATTGTGCTCAGACAGTGTTTATTTATCAATGCAAATTTTGTCCAATGCAAATTTCAAATGCAGGGCCTGTGCTCAGATGAAGTTAGGCTAATGCACAGTAACTGTGTGACACAGTGAGTGTAGTAGGATTTACTGTATAGTATCCTTTGAGTTATTAGGCTCCAGCAAAAGAGGGACGGACAAAGAAAAGGCATCCTCTTTATTTCCTGCTTCACTATGTCCTTCATTGTGATGAGATGCTGCCGGGAACCATGCCAACTACCTTTGTCCTCTCCTTCCATTCAGCAGTTAAAATGTCCTGAACACACACAGTCACAGTACTATAGCTCCCTCTAGAGTATGTTTCCTGTACCTGTCAGTGTGTACCAGAGCTGTGTGTGTGTGTGCGCGCATGTTAGTGGATGTGTGTGTGTTCATGTACTGTATGTATCAGAGCTGTGTGTGTAATGTGTGTGTGTCCCTAGGGAGTTAAGGTTCCGTAAGCGTGCCCAGTCTGCAGACGACGAGGGCAGCGTTGAGCTGGCGGAGTCCCTCCAACACCTCACTCTCTCAGAGTTTCTCAAAGAGTACGTGGGCATCGCCCCCTTCTGGGCTGCCAGCCCTGGCCCTTCCTCTCCACTGGGCAGATAGCCCACAGCCTTTAACCCTACAGGAACTCCCCTGATCTGGAAGCCAGCCCTCTAGTCACTAGCTTCAGCCTCTAACCCCTTCAAGCCAACCATTTTAACCCTACAACTCCCCTGTGCGCATCCTGACATTTAACCTCTACGTTTGTGCCCACAATGCTCTCTGCCTAGCATGGCATCAAAAATAACCTTTAGAGATCGCACTTGTATGCTGTTGATGTCAATGAATGAACCATGTTTGATTACCATACGTGTGCTGCACGTGTAGGTAACTACTACTGTGTAACCCTTAACCCATAGTGCTCTACCAGTGGACTTTGACCTCTCAGGGTGAAGGGGCCTAACCTCCCATTAGGATTCTATACTGTTCAAATAATTGCTTTGTAACACTGAGCTGCCACCAACTTTAAGGAGACGACATCTTAACATTGATGGAGTTTTGACCAGACCTTGTCTTAATTGTGTAATAAACATCTATGGTTGGCTTTGTGGTGCATGTGCTCTAACTGTACACTTGATCCAGCCTGGTGTGACAGTCACAGGCTGATTGAACTACTAACCAAATACCATGTTTACTATAAGGCTTGTGCTTTCATAAGTTGTATGCAGAGTTTATACGTTTTTGTTTCCACATGGCCTCATTAGCTAGGTTTCCATCCAATTGCTGGCAGATTTTCATGCGAACTTAAATCTGCATAAAAACAATATGCCATTTTCCTACCAGAGATGTGTTTCCATCAAATTGACTTTTTCACCAGAATAAGACCCTTGATATTTATTGAAAGCAGCATCAAGCTCATCACCGTACACTTTCACCACCCTATGAAGTTCATCACAACTTATTCCATCTGTAGTTGTTGGATGGAAACCTGGTTATAGATGAAAAACTAAGTCCGAAAATTACTACTAGTAGAAACGAACTATGAGTAATAATTAATTTGAGATGACCAGGCAGAAATAAAGAAAGATCAGCAAAAAAGACTCTAGTATGGATACCGTTTATAAAACCAACAACATATGAAAGTCACATGATGCTAACACCGTTGTGTCTGAACAGAATTGAAGAAGAGGAGTGGGACAAGTACAACATCCCTTCCAAGGTGGAATCAGAGAAATACAAAGTGATTCGTACCTTCAGCTTCCTCAAGAGCAGGATTTCGAACACATGCAACAAGAACAAGGTAAACACTATTTTAACACTAATCGTGAGATTAGGTAAGCACTAATCTTGCCGCCAGACTTTACATTTAGAGCATATGCAATGTTCAGAGACATACTCAACTAGACTAAATAATCATAGACAGAATGAACACACCGACTGACCACACATGTAATCTACACCTCAGTCTAGACCTAACGATCTACAGCTATAAGGACTGCATGACACATCCAAAGAGGGCTGTAAAAAAAAAAAACTGTCTATTATCACAAAAAAAGAAATTGTGCCGCTATTATCATTTAATTATCGAATACAAAAGGCCATTATCAAGCGAATTTGGGTAGTTGAAAAGCGCTATATAAATACCATGTATTATAATAATATAATAATAATAACAGTATTTAAAAAAAAGTATTATTATTGTCTTCATCCAAACCCTTCTCCTTATACTATAGTATTCACATCAGGATCTGTGCTTCACGTGATGACAAGAAGCAGGAAATGTTTTGGGAAATAACCTTAACGCAAAACACAACTGAAACCCTTGTGTAGCTTCTTTCCTTTTAATCATAAACCCTTTGTTGGTGGATCAGCATTTGCGAAACCCCTCAATGTGTTAATGCATTGCTCAGTTTCCTTCACAGTGGACTTTTAAAAATGGGCTAAAATAAGGCGGGGATCCCTTCTCACTCAAACTGCGTCAATTGGAGTCGGTGTACGTGTGTGGCTATTTGTAGCTACTTCTAGTACACGAAACCTGACTTTATAAGTCAAGTGGAGTCTAGCTAATGCCTACGGTGTTACAGTGTTACAATTCCATTCTATGCTTTGATGGATTGTGGCTGAAAGGGTTTATATTAGTTCCAGTATATGGGTGTGCAATAACTAGCCTGTCCTTGCCTCTGATGTTCACCCCTGTGAATCTACCTTGGCTCTACAGTCCCGTGTAGCTCAGTTGGTAGAGCATGGCGCTTGCAACGCCAAGGTTGTGGGTTCGATTCCCACAGGGGACCAGTATGAAAAAAATAAAAATGTATGCACTCACTAACTGTAAGTCGCTCTGGATAAGAGCGTCTGCTAAATGACTAAAATGTAAAAAAAATTCTCCAGGGGAAGGAGGGGAAAGACAAGGACAAACAGCAGAATGGACATCGCTTCTCCACGGGGTCCTGTGCTGGACCCACCGTCTGTCTGGTCTGTGACAAACCTGCTAGTGGCAAGGACCTTCTGCAATGCTCCAGTAAGTAACACGGTTAACTCAATCAATCAAAATGTTTTTATAACGGCCTTTTTACATCAACAATTAACCAGCAGTACATCAACTAATCAGTCGAAACAAACAACAATTTGTTGCTCAATGCTACAAACATACAATGAATAAATGAATTGAAAAATATCACATATATTTATGGGTAATACAGTATATCAATACATATCTTAAGGAAAATATACTGTATATGCTTTTTTTGCATTCGACAATGATAACTTTAATTCGCAAACTTCAATATTTTGCTGGACAATTATAGAACTGAATTCATATATGATTCTATTCCATTTCCAGTCATTCGTTTTTTCTCTTTATGAACCTATCTCTCTCTCCCTAAGGTTGTACAGTCATGGTCCATAAGGGTTGTATTGACTTTGCTCCTCCGTGTATAAAGGTGAGTTTCAGCCTGTATACTTCTGCCCCGACCCACAACCACAAACATAAACATAGAGATGGTTAAGCTAGTCCAGTGACACATCTACTGCTCATCTCTCTCTGTTGAACAAAGTGATCTAGTTGGAATATTTGGTTGTCTGGTATCCTACCTTCCTTCCTTTTGTTAATCTTTGTTTTAAAACTATAGAAACTTGTGAAGAACCGAACGGCATCCCTCCCGCAGAGTGAGTGTTACATTGCAGAGTTCAACGGTCAATGACTGAGGACCTTATTACTGATGAATGTGTTTGTTTTTTATGACCGTTGTTTTTCCTTTCTTTCTGCTTGCATTTTGTATGTATATTTTGATGTGCGTATTTTCTGTAATTTATGTAATTCAGGGCTAATCTGTTAAATAGACCTTGGTCTCAGTATGACTTCCTGATAAAATAAAGGTTAAATAATAAATCAAATCAAATAATGTCAAAGCTCTTTGTTGTCATCCTGTGAAGCACACAGGAAGGAATGCTGAAACAATAACATTCCTCCCCTCCCTCCTTCAGACTTCACAGTGCGAGACAGTCCCTCTTCATGTCTGATCGCCACCTCAGCCTCTCTACCTATGATGAGCCAGAGGGACAGGAGGGAAACAGCCTCCCTCCCCAACCCCCTCTCCAGGAGCGTCCCCTCTGCCACTGACAGGTCAGCTAAGCATCCTCTCACTCACTCACTCACTCACTCACTCACTCACTCACTCACTCACTCACTCACTCACTCACTCACTCACTCACTCACTCACTCACTCACTCACCCTCAGTATATTACAGTAAGCTTGTGATGAAGATTTTTTGGGATGATGCTTATGTCATTGACAATACTATTGTCACTCTCCCAGCAGGCTTAGCGAGAGTCCGGAAGCGGTGTCTGACAGCAGATGGGGTTCTGGCCAATCAGAGGATCTCCTGCAGACCACAGAGTCGTCCTCCTCCACTGACTCCTCCCTCGGAGAAGGTACTGCAGGGACGGGAACCCAGAAGGGACAATTGGAAATGCAAAGGAAAAGTGATCATCTTAATGGTTAAAAGGGAAAAGTCACCATCATGTTCTTTTTGTCCCCCCTCTCCTCCTGTAGACTGTGTGGACACCGGTCTCCACAGCGACCTGGCTGCTGATGCTCTGGACTACGAGGCTGAGTCTTGGAGTCTGACGGTGGAACACAAGTTTTGTAAGAAGCAGGACAAACGGGTGGTTAAGAGACAGGACGTCATCTATGGTGAGCGAACGATGTCGTAACCTAACCTTGCTGTTTTGTAATACCGTTTTGAGTTATGAATGAGTTATGACTTATGAAATGTTATGGGCTGGAGCACAGGAATGTTTATGGTTTGTTGTTATGGCATGTCCAAGGGATATGTTTGTCTAGAGAGACTTTTGTCATCTTGGAAATGTGGGTAGTTGAGGGGATTGGTTTGATGCAGAATCATAAAAATGTACACATAATGCGTAGTTACTTGGGATGCAAGAGATCAATTTGTAGATCAGCGATTCTGCGCAGTCCAACTGCAATGTGTATGTGTGTGTGTGTGTCCGTCCTCTCAGAATTGATGCAGACAGAGATGCACCACCTCCAGACTCTGTGCATCATGGCTGAGGTCTTCCGGCGAGGGATGAGAGAGCAGGTCCAGTTGGACGCAGGCGCGGTGGGGCGTGTCTTCCCCTGTTTGGACGAACTCCTCCTCCTCCACCACGACCTCTTCAACTCCATGAGGGAACGCCGCCACAGCTCCGCCCAGCCATACGGGGACAGGAACTACGTCATAGAACGCATCGGAGATGTTCTACTGCAACAGGTGCACTGTTAAAATGATGTGCTTGTAACAACAAGGAGGCAAAACCTTAACTTTTCTGGAGTGGGGTCGAGAAGGAACAGGAAACAGTTATGTACTTTCTGTCATACGGTCAGGAATCTGTGGAGACAGAATTAACTTACAACCCCTAAAAGTACATGGAAGTGTTGATTCATTACAATGAATCAGCACTTCCATAAAACATGGATAAATACGGATGTTTTTTTGTGTGTGTCTGAAACATTGCCAACATCCACTGACTCTGTCCCGTAATTCAGTAATTCAACCTTAATAGACATGACTGTGGTATTAATGTTCTATGACTGATTGAGTACGTTGGCTCAATATGATTGACTGTATAACTTCTAATTTCCGGTGCAGTTTTCTGAAGAGAACGCAGAGAGGATGAAACAGGTGTATGGAGACTTCTGCAGCCATCACTCTGAGGCAGTCACCTTCTTCAAAGAGCTACAGCAGCAAAACAAACGATTTCAGACCTTCATCAAGGTACAGGCTTGTCTGCTTATGACACCTCTATAAGCCTCAAGAGTTACACTACATGGCCAAAAGTAAGTGGACACGCCTTCAAATTTGTGGATTTGTTGCTGACAGGTGTATACAATTGAGCACACAGCCATGCAATTTCCATAGACAAACATTGACATTAGAATGGCCCGTACTGAAGAGCTCAGTGACTTTCAATGTGGCACCGTCATAGGATGCCACCTTTCCAACCAGTCAGTTTGTCAAATTTCTGCCCTGCTAGAGCTGCCCTGGTCAACTGTAAGTACTTTTATTGTGAAGTGGAAACGTCTAGGAGCAACAACGGCTCAGCCGCAAAGTGGTAGGCCACACAAGCTCACAGAACAGGACCGCCGAGTGCTGAAGCGCTTAGCGTGTAAAAATTGTCTGTCCTCGGATGCAACACTCACTATCGAGTTCCAAACTGCCTCTGGAAGCAATGTCAACACAATAACTGTTAGTCGGGAGCTTCATGAAATGGGTTTCCATGGCCAAGCAGCCGCACACAAGCGTAAGATCGCCTTGCGCAATGCTAAATGTCGGCTGGAGTGGTGTAAAGCTCGCCGCCATTGGACTCAGGAGCAGTGGAAACGAGTTCTCTGGAGTGAGGAATCATGCTTCACCATCTGGCAGTCCGACGGACAAATCTGGGTTTGGCGGATGCCAGGAGAACGCTACCTGCCCGAATGCATAGTGCCAACTGTAAAGTTTGGTGGAGGAGGAATATTGGTCTGGGGCTGTTTTTCATGGTTCGGGCTAGGCCCCTTAGGTCCAGTGAAGGGAAATCTTAACGCTACAGCATACAATTACATTCTAGACGATTCTGTGATTCTGACTTTGTGGCAACAATTTGGGGAAGGCCCTTTCCTGTTTCAGCAAGATCCCCCCCATGTACAAAGCGAGGTCCATACAGAAATGGTTTGTTGAGATCGGTGTGGAAGAACTTGACTAGCCTGCACAGAGCCCTCACCTCAACCCCATTGAACATCTTTGGGATGGATTGGAACGCCGACTGCGAGGCAGACCAAATCGCCCAACATCAGTGCCCGACCTCACTAATGCTCTTGTGGCTGAATGGAAGCAAGTCCCTACAGCAATGTTCCAACATCTAGTGGAAAGCGGCTGTTATAGCAGCAAAGGGGCTGTTATAGCAGCAAAGGGGGGACTAACTCCATATTAATGCCCTTGATTTTGGAATGCGATGTTCTCCGAGCAAGTGTCCACATACTTTTGGCCAAGTCGTGCATCTTGAGAAGATCTCTGGAGAAATTATCTGTCGTAACAAGTTCAATTATTTTAAATGTTCCACTTGTGACTAATGATTATTTGTTGATTGTGTGTTTTTATAGCAACAAAGTAATAACTATTTGGTGCGGAGGAGAAAGATCCCAGAATGCATGTTGTTGGTGACCCAGAGGATCACTAAGTACCCTGTTCTGTTGGAGAGGATTCTACAGTACACCCAGGGTTAGTCTGTCTGCCTCTCTATGCTCTGCTGCCCACTGCTGTTAGGATCAGATAAATCAAATCAACTCGTGATAACACGACCAGGCTAGTTTTTTGTTGGACAGGTGGTTTTATCATACAGCTGAGCTATCAGTGATAATATACAGCAGTTACAGTAAGAGATTACATGAAATGTTTGTTGTATTGTGTTGTATTTCAAATGGTACTTCATTACTGATATGGGGCTGGTAACCGGATGTATAGTATTGATCCTACTACTTCAATGTGCCTAAATATTTTTTCTCTCTCTCTCTCTCCCCCCTCCCTAAATCTCCCCTCTCCCTCTCTCAGAGGACAGTGAGGAGCACAGGGACCTCTCCAGAGCTCTGGTTTTGATCAAGGAGGCGATCGCGGCTGTAGACCTGAAGGTCAGTGAGTTTGAGCAGGGTCAGAGGTTACAGGACGTCCTAAACAGGATGGACAACCGTAGTGCTGCCAAGCTGAAGAACGGACACAACTTTAGGAAGCAGGATGTTCTGGTGCCAGGCCGGACCCTCAAACACCAGGGCCTGTTACTGTGGAAGACCGCCACTGGACGACTCAAAGGTCTGAGGCACTGATCTATCTATCAATTAATCAACCAATCAGTCAATCAAATAATCAAGCAATACATGAATCAGTCAATCAATCGATCAATCAATCAATTTCACACAAATTATCATATTGATTATGGATTACATTGTTCACAATTGTTTTGCTGTCTCTTATCTCTTCAGATGTCCTGGCTCTCCTTCTCACAGACACACTGATCTTCCTACAGGCGAAAGACCAGAAGTTCATATTCGCTGCTGTGGTATGTCTGTGAAATGGTCTTGTGACATTTGCTGTTTATGGAATAAGACAAAATAAACTCTACAGTTCAATTCAGTTCCTTTGGACTCGGTCTGATAGCTTTGGGCTACTGCTCTCTGCTATCCATTTTATTATATCGGAGGGGTTGGGAAAAAAGCAGAAGACACATTTCCATCCTGTATGGACTAATAAAGTTTGGGCACACCTACTCATTCAAGGATTTTTCTTTATTTTTACTATTTTTTAGATTGTAGAATAATAGTGAATACATCAAAACTATGAAATAACACATATGGAATCATGTACTAACCAAAAAAGAGTTAAACAAATCAAAATATATTTTATATTTGAGATTCTTCAAATAGCCACCCTTTGCCTTGATGACAGCTTTGCACACTCTTGGCATTCTCTCAACCAGCTTCATGAGGTAGTCACCTGGAATGCATTTCAATTAACAGGTGTGCCTTCTTAAAACTTAATTTGTGGAATTTCTTAATGCGTTTCAGCCAATCAGTTGTGTTGTGACAAGGTAGGGGGTATACAGAAGATATCCCTATTTGGTAAAATACCAAGTCCATATTATGGCAAGAACAGCTCAAATAAGCAAAGAGAAATTACAGTTCATTACTTTTAAGACTTGAAGGTCAGTCAATACGGAACATTTCAAGAACTTTGAAAGTTTCTTCAAGTGCAGTCGCAAAAACCATCAAGCACTATGATGAAACTATCTCTCATGAGGACCACCACATGAATGGAAGACCCAGAGTTACCTCTGCTGCAGAGGATAAGTTAATTAGAGTTACCAGCCTCAGAAATTGCAGCCCAAATAAATGTTTCACAGAGTTCAAGTCACAGACACATCTCAACATCAACTGTTCAGAGGGGACAGTGTGAATCAGGCCTTCATGGTCGAATTGCTACAAAGAAACCACTACTAAAGGATGATCTCCGCATGTGTATTTCCTACCGTAAAGCATGGAGGAGGAGGTGTTATGGTGTGGGGGTGCTTTGCTGGTGACACTGTCCGTGATTTATTTAGAATTCAAGGCACACTTAACCAGCATGGCTACCACAGCATTCTGCAGCGATACGCCATCCCATTTGGTTTGGGCTTAGTGGGACTATAATTTGTTTTTCAACAGGACAATGACCCAACACACCTCCAGGCTGTGTAAGAGCTATTTTACCAAGAAGTTGAGTGATGGAGTGCTGCATCAGATGACCTGGCCTCCACAATCCCCCGACCTCAACCAAATTGAGATGTTTTGGGATGAGTCAGACCGCAGAGTGAAGGAAAAGCAGCCAACAAGTGCTCAGCATATGTGGGAACTCCTTCAGGACTGTTGGAAAAGTATTCCAGGTGAAGCTGGTTGAGAGAATGCCAAGAGTGTGCAAAGCTGTCATCAAGGCAAAGGGTGGCTATTTGTAGAGTCTCAAATATAAAATATGTTTTGATTTGTTTAACACTTTTTTGGTTACTACATGGTTCCATATGTGTTATTTCATAGTTTTGATGTCTTCACTATTATTCTACAATGTAGTAAATAGTAAAAATAAAGAAAAACCCTTGAATTAGTAGGTGTGTCCAAACTTTTGACTGGTACTGTATATCTTATCATATATTGGGGATTGAGACTCAAAAAGACATTTCAACGTCTACATCAGTGAGTGTTGGCCCCTGTATTCATTCAATTTACTCTCTCATCCTCCCATACTGTCTGTGCTCCTCAGGACCAGAAGCCCCCAGTGATCTCTCTGCAGAAGCTGATTGTCAGGGAGGTAGCCAATGAGGAGAGAGGGATGTTTCTTATCAGCGCGTCGGCCGCGGGTCCAGAAATGTATGAGGTCCACACCTCCTCGAAAGATGAACGCAACAGCTGGATGAGACACATCAGAGAGGCTGTGGAGAGGTCAGTAAGGGGTGTGTGAAGGGTGTAAGTGTGTGGTTAGTGTGTGTGTGCGTGCGTGTGAGTGAGTGTGTGTATGCTTAACGCTGTCTGTTCGTCTGTCTGTCTATCCAGCTGTCCAGAGGATGAGGAGGAGAACACTAGCGAATTGGAGGAGGAGAGAAGAACATCTGAAGCCAGAGCCCAGAAGATACAAAAACTACAGGGTAATATGCTACTGTATATTCATAGCTTACAAATAGATCTACTAATGAATGTTAATTAATGAATGTTTCTTAATGACACTTTGTTAATTACATTTTATTCATGTGTTTATCTACCAGAGAGTCTGAGCAGTCAGGACCATCAGATCTGTTCTAGTCTGGAGGAGAAGCTACAGATCTATGCTGAACTGTCTGCCCTGAGGGGCGGCACCCAGAAACCACACCCTGAGCCACACCTACTGGTCCAGCCACACCCAGAGGAGGTGCCCCAGGCTGCAGTACTGGTCACTGCCGCACTCAAAGAGGGTCAGATGATACACCACCCTTTTAGCCTCACTGACCATTGTTAGCATCATGTACATGTTGTCCATTTCCTGTTGTCCAATGTCTTACTCTGTATGTCTGTGGGTCTTTTTGTCTACAGTAAATTATCTTTCTCCCTCTCTCTAACCACCCCTCTCCTCTCTCCCTCTCCAGCTGAGAACCTGAGGACCACTCTGTCCTCCAGGACCTGTTCTCCCTCCAGCCTCTGCAGCCCTCACAGGGACCTCCTGTCCCACCCTGTGTCCCCAGCCAACCCTTCTACCCCCCTGGACACTTCCACAGATGGCGAAGTCTCACCTGGGGACCCTGATACCAGGGACGGGGAGTGGTCAGCCTCCCAGGCCCTCGTACTGCAGTCCCTGACTCCACCCCACACTGGGGACACTAATAATATCAACCTTAAGGCAGGTCTTCTATACAAGGTTTTCTTTTCTACCATAGATATCGTAGCGAATTCAGTGGTAACCCGACAGGGCTTGAACTCGGGTCCCTGTGAGTTGTCAGTCTAACATGTTAGCCATAACACCAAGCGGCTCAAATACAAATGGGATCTGTAGTTGTAGCCATAAGCTTATTGAAGTCTTCTCACCTTCCTCCACTTTCTTATTGCTGACCCAACAGTTGTTTAAATAATTTAACACCATCTATTAGAATTTCATTTCAGCCTTAATGTGCTAAATTATTCATATCTTAATAATACAGGAAAAGTCCATTTAGCTCTCAAAGGTACCGTCTCATTAAAAATAGATGATGGAGAATTATATCCCAATTTCCTCGGCCATGTTTGTGCTATCGTTAGCATCTTGTCCTGGCTGTGAGGTGAATGACTATGATAAAAGAGAGTAATATTCCCTCTCCCGAGTGGCGCAGTGGTCTAAGGCTCTGCATCGCAGTGCTAGCTGTGCCACTAGAGATCCTGGTTCGTATCCAGGCTCTGTCGTTGCCGGCGCGACCGGGAGACCCATGGGGCGGCGCGCAATTGGTCCAGGGTAGGGGAGGGAATGGCCGGCAGGGATGTAGCTCAGTTGATAGAGCATGGCGTTTGTAACGCCAGGGTTGTGGGTTCGATTCCCACAGGGGGTAGGAAAAAATAAAAATAAAATAAATGTATGCATTCACTAACTGTAAGTCGCTCTGGATAAGAGCGTCTGCTAAATGACTAAAATGTAAATGTATATTGACTGAATGTAATAGAGCAGGGGTACTCAACTTTTACCCTACGAGGTCTGGAGCCTGCTGGTTTTCTGTTCTACCTGATAATTACTTGCACACACCTGGTGTCCCAGGTCTAAATCAGTCCCCGATTAAAGGGGAACAATGGGGAAAAAAAAGTAGTGGAATTGGTTTCAAGGTCCAGAGTTGAGTTTGAGGGGTCTAGGACCTCGAGGCCCCTCTAACCAGGGACTGCTTTAGACCTGCTGGGACATCAGGTGTGCGCAATTAATTAACAGGTAAAACAGAAAACCAGTAGTATACCAGACTGCATAGGGTAAGATTTGAACACCCCTGGTATTGAGCAATGCAGTGTACAGCACGTGTCATACTCGTTCCACGGAGGGCCGAGTGTCTGCGGGTTTTCCTCCACCCTTGGACTTGATTGATTAATTAAGGTCACTGATTAGTAAGGAACGCCCCTCACCTGGTTGTCTAGGTCTTAATTGAAAGGAAAAACCAAACACCAGCAGACACTAGCCCAGGGTTCTTCAATTCTGGTCCTGGAGGGCCGAAACACCTCTGTTTTTCATCCTCTCCTTTTAATCAGGGGCTAATTCAGACCTGCGACACCAGGTGAGTGCAATTAACTACCAGGTAGAAATAAAAAACAGAAGTGTTTCGGCCCTCCAGGACCGGAATTGAAGAACCCTGCACTAGGCCCTCCATGGAATGAGTTTGACACCCCTGGTGTACAGATTCTGTGCACAGACACTACCAGACCACAAAGTGGCGCTATATACTTACATGACGACATAGACTCCTCAGACAAATTGACTCTCCTTAGAAAATGTGCCTTGTGATAAGAGGAGAAGATACTGCACTCTCACCACTCTACTCTACTCTAGTCTAGTCCAGGAGTAAGACTGTATTGGCTGGCTTCAACTGATATGGGTATACAGTAGTAGTAGGAGAGTAAAACACTGTTGCCATCTACTGTAGAACTGTAGAATCTTCAGATACCAACACTCTGAAATAATAGAATCAGGACATTTATTCCTTAACAGTTTTTCATAGAGGGAATATAATTTGTGAAGTGATTAAGTCATCTACCAGCATGGGAGCCTGACTGTTAGTTGTGTGTTTGTGTCTTCTTCAATAACAGGTGGCTCAGAGTGTCCAGAGCTTGACCCAGTTACTTTACAGTCTGCAGGTGAGCTCATCACACACAAACGCACAAACTCTCTCACACACACATGCACGCACACACACACACTTTGTATCTATGTATCTACCTCAGTCACTCATTTTCATTTCCCACAAAGACCCATTGTGTTCTCAAACTTTATTTGTCACATGCGCCGAACTGGTGTAGACTGTAGACTACCGTGAAATGCTTGGTTACAAGGCCTTCCAAACAATGCAGAGTTAAAAAATAAAATAGTAACACTAGAGGAATCAAATAAAATACAGTACAGGGAGTACCAGTACCAGATCAATGTGCAGAGGTATTTGAGGTAGATATGTGCATGAAGGCAGGGTAAAGTGACCAGGCATCAGGATAGATAATAATAAGAGTAAAATAAAGAACAGAGCAGCAACAAAAGTGTGAGTGTGCGTGTGTGTTTAGTGTGTGCGTGTGTAAGTAGTGAATATGTGTGGGTTGCAACCCCCCCCCCCCCCTTTGCCTCAATTCGTCGGGGAATGTTGACCCAAATGCTTCCCACAGTTGTGTCAAGTTGGCTGGATGGCCTTTGGGCGGTGGACCATTCTTGATACACACGGGAAACTGTTGAGCGTGAAAAACCTGCCACCTACTACCATGCTTCAAAGTCACTTAAATCGTTTGTCTTGCCCATTCACCCTCTGCATGGCACACATACACAATCCATGTCTCAATTGTCTCAAGGCTTAAAAATCCTTCTTTAACCTGTCTCCTCCCCTTCATCTACACTGATTTGAAGTGGATTTAACAAGTGATATCAATAAGGGATCATAGCTGGTCAGTCTACGTCATGGAAAGAGTGATTTGTATATAGTCGAGTGTGCGTAGTGCAAGATAGAGTCAGTGCAGATAGTTTGGGTACCATTAATTAACTATTTAGCAGTCTTATGGCTTGGGGGTAGAAGCTGTCTTGGAGCCTGTTGGTCCGAGAGCCGATGCTCCGGTACCGGTTGCCGGACGGTAGCAGAGTGAACAGTCTATGGCTTTGGTGGCTGGAGTCTTTACGGGCCTTCCTCTGACACCGCCTGATATAGAGGTCCTGGATGGCAGGGAGCTCGGCCCCAGTGATGTACTGAGCTGTCCGCACCACCCTCTGTAGCGCTTTGCAGTCAAGGGCGGTGCATTTGCCATAACATTCGGTGATGCAGCCAGTCAAGATGTCCTCGATGGTGCAGCTGTATACCTTTTTGAGGGTCGGAGAGCCCATGCCAAATCTTTTCAGCCTCCTGAGGGGGAAGAGGCACTGCCGTCCCCTCTTCACAACTGTGTGGGTATGTGTGGACCATGTTAGGTCCTTAGTGATGTGGACGCGAAGGAACTTGAAACTCACGACCCGCTCCACAACAGCCCCGTCGATGTGGATGGGGGTGTGCTCTCCCCTCTTTCTCCTATAGTCCACGATCAGCTCTTTGGTCTTACTGACATTGAGGGAGAGGTTGTTGTCCTGACACCACACTGCTAAGTCTCTGACCTCCTCCCTGTAGGCTGACTTATCGCCGTCGTCAGCAAACTTGATAATAGGGTTGGAGTTGTGCGTGGCCATGCAGTCGTGGGTGAACAGGGAGTAGAGGAGGGGACTAAGCACACACCCCTGAGGGGCCCCCGTGTTGAGGGTCAGTGTGGTGGAGGTGTTGTTGCCTACCCTCACCACCTGGGGTCGGCCCGTCAGGAAGTCCAGGATCCAGTTGCAGATGGAGGTGTTCAGTCCCAGGGTCCTAAGCTTGGAGGGAGCTACGGTGTTGAACGCTGAGCTGTAGTCTATGAACAGCATTCTGACATAGTTATTTCCCCTCTTGTCCAGGTGAGATTGCATCATCTGTGGATCTTTTGGGGCGGTATGCAAATTGGAGTGGGTCTAGGGTGTCTGGGATGATGGTGTTGATGTGAGCCATGACCAGCCTTTCAAAGCACTTCATGATTACAGATGTGAGTGCTACAGGGCGATAGTCATTTAGGCAGGTTACATTGGAGCTCTTGGGAACAGGGACAATGGTGGTCAGCTTGAAACATGTTGCGATTACAGACTGGGACAAGGAGAGATTGAAAATGTCTGTGAAGACACTTGCCAGCAGGTCTGCGCATGCTTTGAGAACGCGCCCTGGTATTCCATCTGATTGTTAACCTGTTTAAACGTTTTGCTCACATTGGCCACAGAGAGCGAGATCACACAGTCATCCGGAAAAACTGGCTTTCATGCAAGGCACAGTGTTATATTCCTCGAAGCGAGCATAAAAGGCATTTAGCTCGTTTGGGAGTTCTGGATTGCTGGGCCAATCATTGCTGGGTTTCCCTTTGTAATCTGTTATCGTCTGCAAGCCCTGCCACACACGACGAGCGTTGGCGCCGGTGTAATAGGATCCCACCTTCCTCCTATATTGTCCTTTTGCATGTTTGATGTCTCTTCGGACCCATCCTATTTTAGTTCCACACTCAGGTTGAAGGCTTAGTGTGTGTGTGCGTGCTACTATGTGCTACTGCATGTGTGTGTGTGTGCGCGTGCTTGTGTGTGTGTGTGTGTGTGCACGCGCGTCTGGCTGCACAACAGCTTCTATAAACAGAGATAGAACAATCAGCTGGATTGTCTGAATCTTGAACCGCCAGGCGGTAAATAAGCTGCTGGAGAGAGGAACCCAATTATCCTATTCTAAGTGGAAGAAAGAACAGAGGAGAGGCTTTTATCTTGAACTGCACAGGGGAGCATTTGATATGTTAATGTAGATGGAGTCTATTCTGTTTGGTCTGTTCACGGCATGTGTTTGTGTTAGTAGGCTAATGTGAAGTGTGTTTGTGTGTGTGTGTGTGTTGATCTAACAACATGTAGCTAAGCCTTTCAAGTAAGTACACAAATGATCGACTTTCAAGTAAGTACACACAGTGTTGACTAACCCATTTGGTATTCAAATTACCTGCTCCTATTGCCCCCATTCACCTTGGTTTGGAGCAACTCGTGGTCAGCGACGGTTGGACCAGTTTGGACCCAGTCAGTCAGTCAGTCAGTCAGCAGCCAGGCAGCCAGCCATTCAGACAGCTATTAAGTCAGCCAGCCAGCTAGTCAGCCAGCCAGCTAGTCAGCCAGCCAGCCAGCTAGCCAGCCAGCCAGCCAGCCAGCCAGCCAGCTAGTCAGCCAGCCAGCCAGCCAGCCAGCCAGCCAGCTAGTCAGCCAGCCAGCCAGCCAGCCAGCCAGCCAGCCAGCCAGCCAGTTAGTCACGTTATCGTCACATTTTAATTTCCCCTCTACAGGCGGCGGTAACCATCCAAGACAGTTTATACGAGGTACAGAAGCTCCTCCTCCATGAGAGTGACCACCCCGCCCCCTGCCTGCCGAGACCATCCCCCCCGTGTCTCCAGGAGCAGGAGAAGCATCGTAACCAGGAGAAGCGCCGTGAGGAGGTGGCAGCGGCGGTGCGGTTACAGGGTCGGCTGCGCCAGGTAGGGATGGCTAGCTTCGATTATCTTTTCGATGAGCTTTTTTGTCCTTAAAATGGATAAGTAAGCAAGCATCTATCTAGTATGCACTCATTCCACTTATTTTTCTTGGAAAACTCAGATTGATTAGTGAAAAAAAACTATATTTGGAGTATTGATCCATTAATTGGCCCTAGCAACTATCAACCAGTTGATTCTGAAAAACTAATAGATTCTGTTGAACTCATCCCTACTGCCAGGAGAGGAAGCGGTGGGAGAGGGAGTGCCAGGTGCGCCACAGCCAACAGGAGGAGCTGGAGAGCAGGCTAGAGGAGAGGGAGAGACAGTGCCACCTGGAGGCTGAGAGGCTGAAGCGGGAGTGGGAAGAGCTGGAAGAGAAGCTGGGGGAGTACCAGCAGAGCCTGGAGAGGCTGAGGGAGGGCCAGAGAAGCGTGGGGAAGGAGAGGGAGAAGCTGGAGACCCAGCAGAAGCTGCTGCAGAGCTGGAGACACAGCCGACAGAGGAGCCTGCCTGTCATGGTCATACCGCTGGACGGACATCAGGTGTGTGTGAGGGGGGTTAGTGTGTGTGTGTGTGTGAGTGTGCGTGCCTGCATGTGTGTGTGTGTGATGATGGCTCCAGGCATCTCACAGAAGGACCCCTAGCCTGTAGTTACTAACCACTGCATGAGAGTGTGAATGAGAGATGCTGAGCATGTGGTTTCCATGTGTTTGATACCGTTCCATTCATTCCATTCCAGCCATTACAATGAGCCCATCCTCTTATAGCTCCTCCCAACAGCCTCCTCTGGTGTACTTATACTGTAAGTGTGTGTATATATGTTTGTGTGAACCAAGGGCATGTTTCACCCTGGGTTAGTAGTTCATTAATGATAAGTGCCTTTCTCCCAGGACAAAGTATTGCCAGCAGCCAGAGCTACGGTGGCCCACTCAGCCACACAGACAACTCAATCCAGCCCTTGATATACGACCTGTGGTAATGAGAGGAATTTCAGCGGCATCCATCTCGGGGCTCAGCAGGTCCGCTCGCTAATAAACAACTTAATGATTGATGATAATTAAACCGCTGTGAATAAAAGCTCCAATTACAAAATATTTAAAAGCAGAGGCACTCGAACCCTGCAAACCAATCAATCCTCTCCAAAAATACTTCAATTATTCATATCGACACTTTGTTTGAAAAGCGAGTGGAGCGTGCCTGCAGTGAAATATGCCCCCGAGCTGAGAGGAGAGGCATAGAGAATGAGGGAGAGAGGAGAGGCAGGGAGAGAGAGAGAAGGGGAGAGAGACGTGTTCCTATAAAGGGAAGTGTTCCTATACCCTGCCTCTGCCTGCCTCTCTACAGGACCTTGTATGCTAAAACCAACGACCTCATGAATGTATAGAATTTACCCTATAGGCCTCAGTGGGGTTGAGCTTGTGTTGTGATGTTAAGCAGGTGCTATGATTCAACGAGTAGAGAGTGGAATGGCGGGGGTCTCATACAGTGGGGAGAACAAGTATTTGATACACTTCCGATTTTGCAGGTTTTCCTACTTACAAAGCATGTAGAGGTCTGTAATTTTTATCATAGGTACACTTCAACTGTGAGAGACGGAATCTAAAACAAAAATCCAGAAAATCACATTGTATGATTTTTAAGTAATTAATTTGCATTTTATTGCATGACATAAGTATTTGATCACCTACCAACCAGTAAGAATTCCGGCTCTCACAGACCTGTTAGTTTTTCTTAAAGAAGCCCTCCTGTTCTCCACTCATTACCTGTATTAACTGCACCTGTTTGAACTCGTTACCTGTATAAAAGACACCTGTCCACACACTCAATCAAACAGACTCCAACCTCTCCACAATGGCCAAGACCAGAGAGCTGTGTAAGGACATCAGGGGTAAAATTGTAGACCTGCACAAGGCTGGGATGGGCTACAGTACAATAGGCAAGCAGCTTGGTGAGAAGGCAACAACTGTTGGCGCAATTATTAGAAAATGGAAGAAGTTCAAGATGACGATCAATCAACCTCGGTCTGGGGCTCCATGCAAGATCTCACCTCGTGGGGCATCAATGATCATGAGGAAGGTGAGGGATCAGCCCAGAACTACACAGCAGGACCTGGTCAATGACCTGAAGAGAGCTGGGACACAGTCTCAAAGAAAACCATTAGTAACACACTACGCCGTCATGGATTAAAATCCTGCAGCGCATGCAAGGTCCCCCTGCTCAAGCCAGCGCATGTCCAGGCCTGTCTGAAGTTTGCCAATGACCATCTGGATGATCCAGAGGAGGAATGGGAGAAGGTCATGTGGTCTGATGAGACACAAATAGAGCTTTTTGGTCTAAACTCCACTCGCCGTGTTTGGAGGAAGAAGAAGGATGAGTACAACCCCAAGAACACCATCCCAACCGTGAAGCATGGAGGTGGAAACATCATTCTTTGGGGATGCTTTTCTGCAAAGGGGACAGGACGACTGCACCGTATTGAGGGGAGGATGGATGGGGCCATGTATCGCGAGATCTTGGCCAACAACCTCCTTCCCTCAGTAAGAGCATTGAAGATGGGTTGTGGCTGGGTCTTCCAGCATGACAACGACCCGAAACACACAGCCAGGGCAACTAAGGAGTGGCTCCGTAAGAAGCATCTCAAGGACCTGGAGTGGTCTAGCCAGTCTCCAGACCTGAACCCAATAGAAAATCTTTGGAGGGAGCTGAAAGTCCGTATTGCCCAGCAACAGCCCCGAAACCTGAAGGATCTGGAGAAGGTCTGTATGGAGGAGTGGGCCAAAATCCCTGCTGCAGTGTGTGCAAACCTGGTCAAGACCTACAGGAAACGTATGATCTCTGTAATTGCAAACAAAGGTTTCTGTACCAAATATTAAGTTCTGCTTTTCTGATGTATCAAATACTTATGTCGTGCAATAAAATGCAAATTAATTACTTAAAAACCATACAATGTGATTTTCTGGATTTTTGTTTTAGATTCCGTCTCTCACAGTTGAAGTGTACCTATGATAAAAATTACAGACCTCTACATGCTTTGTAAGTAGGAAAACCTGCAAAATCGGCAGTGTATCAAATACTTGTTCTCCCCACTGTATATGTCTCACTCTCCTCCTCTTTCTCTCTTATTTACGTACTTCTCTTCTGTATGCTATGTCCAGGTTAGGTAAGATGTTCTCCTGCCTCCTTCATTTGATCTGTGTCAAAGCTCAAGCAGAATTAGCAGTCCACCACTAACATGCGTGACCGGAGTAGGGAGTCACTGCAGGCTTATCTATATGGAAGCAGTGCAGTCTTGGCCTACGTCCCAAATGGCACCATATTCCCTATGGTCCCTGGTCAAAAGTAGGGCACTATAAAGGGAATAGGGTGCCATTTGGGATCAGCCTTAGTGGTCCCTGCTGATCTGTATGGAGGTAGTGTTTAGCATTTCCCTGCTAACATTTAGCCCCAGGCAGAGGGTCAGATGGTCAGGGGGTCAGAGGCGTATCCAGTGACTCACACCGACCCTCCATCCTCAGATCCTCTCTAATGAGATGGCCTCAATGGAAGGAGGATGGGGTTTACAGCACCTTGCCAAGTAGAGGGAACCCAGCTCCACTGCAGCAGTGATCTGGATATTATTTACAGTGAATATAATATGAATTGGCATACTTAACAGAAATCACACCGAAAATATGGATTACATCTCTCAAATATGATTTTGGATGATAATTCTGTTTTTGGATAAACTGTGGATAAACCATTATGGTAAAATAGCCACTGTGGCTACTTTACCATTCCAGATGTGTAGCATTGGTTATGCTGTTGACTGTTAACTATTGTCGTAGTGTTATGGTTTCCCTGTATGTTTATGTTCATGCTGTCATCATGGTCATCCATCTCTCAGAGTTGTGTTAACATGGCATTCTTCTCCCTTATTCTCCCATAGGACTCACTTCCTGGTCAGTCCGGCGTCCATCTTGACAACGCGGGCTCAGTGTTTGTCAACGAGGCATCGTTCACCACGTCGAAGGTGCTCAACAACCGCCACGTACACCACCACCTGCAGCAGCACCAGAGAGACGACCCTCGAGCCCACAACAGCCTGAACACCCTACTGGCCTGCTCCAGCCAGAGACACACGCTCCAACCCCTCTCCCTCTCCAAGACCCCCACGCGCCACCCTGGCACAAACACACCTCAGGGCTGGGCGGGGGGTGCCGGTGTCACTGGTTACCTCTGTACAACCTCAGGTGGACAGGGGACAGAGCACACACCCAACGGTAAGACCCAGTTCAGTAAAGTTGTGCGAGTCCATCTCTGTTAAAGAGATTGTGTTTATTGTCTAATCCTAAATACAGGATGAATTCAGGCTTTCTCGGCTGAATTTGACTGATAACACTCAGGATGATATGATGGGATCTGTCGTTGACTTCTAAATACCATACAACTAAATGTGGCATCAGTAATATAACAGGATATGTTTCTCCTGTATCTCTCTCTCTCTCTCTCTCTCTCTCTCTCTCTCTCTCTCTCTCTCTCTCTGTCTGTCTGTCTGTCTGTCTGTCTGTCTGTCTGTCTGTCTGTCTGTCTGTCTGTCTGTCTGTCTGTCTGTCTGTCTGTCTGTCTGTCTGTCTGTCTGTCTGTCTGTCTGTCTGTCTGTCTGTCTGTCTGTCTGTCTGTCTGTCTGTCTGTCTGTCTGTCTGTCTGTCTGTCTGTCAAAACACATGATATCACGAGTCCTACCTGCTACCCGTGAGAGAGTAAACACAACCTTTGTACCCACCACACACACGCATGAAAGCAAATGTAATTCGGCACAGTACTGCATGCAGCACACTACTGCATGCAGCTGTGGTGGTTGATATCTGACACACACACACCCCACACACACCTCCCATCCTTCTCAAGGCTGTCTCAGTTTCCGTAGAGATGTGAGGCCTTGTTTGTCCTTCTTTCCCAGTTAATCAGTGTCTCCTGGCAAAGAAACCCCCCTCACCCCTGACCTAGGAGAGAGAAAAAAAAAATCTATGTTTTCTCTATCTATCGTGCGTTGGGGGCAGGGGCGGACAACAGCGTGTGAATCACAGCTCAGAGCCCATGGCTGATGGGTTGGAACATCGATCTGAAAAATCTTTACAAAACTCATTACAGCACGATTTGTCATCGCAGGAGGAAGAGGAGGAGGAGGAGGAGGAGGAGGGGATGAGAGATGCATACATATTCATCTGTATTTAACTGCTGATTTGTCAGCTGACATCTGTCTGCATCTATGTGTCTCACAGGTTTCAACTGCCATACCTCACTGGTGTAATGTACATGTATACTGATCTAAACTGAAAGTATGACTAGCTATAATGTTGAATATACACTAGAAGGGATGCTTCTGTTTTAATGGGCTGTTTTAATGGGTTTCGCTATAGTAAATATCAGTAATACAGGCTGCTGCATTGTTTACTAAAGATTGCGACCAGAGCACGATCTCTCTCCATCGATCGCCTTATTATCCCCTACTGTTATTGACCACACATGAGCCACCGTAGAATCGCAGTCTCTTGTTAATAAGACAGATGGGTGGATACTTCTAACCCAATCTACCACAGGGCCAGATCCTACCTGACATCTTACCCACAATGCATCCCTCTGCGGCCCCAGACAGTCCCCATAATGTACTGCTCTTGTCCAGTTAGAGATTGTACAGTGTGTTATATGACAGGTCAGCAGGATTCACAGATGTTCAAATCAATCAAATAAAATGTAATTTTTTACATGCGCCGAATACAACAGTTGTAGATTTTACCGAGAAATGCTTACTTACGAGCCCTTTCCCAACAATGCAGAGATAAAAAGTACGAAAAATTTAACACAATAACAATAACGAGACTATATACAAGGAGTACCGGTACAGAGTCAATGTGCAGGGGTACGAGGTACTTGAAGTAATTGAGGCAATATGGACTGTACATGTGGGTAGGGGTAAAAGTGACTAGGTCATCAGGATAGATAATAAACAGAGTAGCAGCAGCTTATGTGAAGAGTGTGAAAGTGTGTCTATTTGTGAGTGGGTGTGTGGCATCAATATGCATGTGTGTGTGTGTTGGAGTGTCAGTGTAGAATGTGTGAGTGTGTAGGTAGAGTCCAGTGAATGTGCATAGAGCCGGTGCAAGAGAGTCGGTGCAAATAAAAACGGGGTCAATGCAAATAGTCAGGGTAGCCATTTGATTAACTGTTCAGCAGTCTTATGACTTGGAGGTAGAAGCTGTTCAGGAGCCTTTGCGCTCCGGTACCGCTTGCCGTGCGGTAGCAGAGAGAACATTCTATGACTTGGGTGGCTAGAGTCTTTGACAATTTTTAGGGCCTTCCTCTGACACCGCCTGGTATAGAGGTCCTTGATGGCAGGGAGCTCGGTCCCAGTGATGTACTGGGCCGGGCTGTACTCACTACCCTCTGTAGCGCCTTATGGTCGGATGCCAAGCAGTTGCCATACGAAGTGGTGATACAGCCAGTCAAGATGCTCTCAATGATGCAGCTGTAGAACTTTGCCAAATCTTTTCAGCTTCCTGAAGGGAGGAGGCGTCGTCGTGCCAACTTCACAACTGATTTGGTGTGGTTGGACCATGATAGGTCCTTAGTGATTTGGACACCGAGGAACGTGAAGCTCTCGACCCGCTCCACTACAGCCCCGTCCATGTGAATGGGGGTGTGCTCGGCCCTCTGTTTCCTGTAGTCCACGATCAGCTCCTTTGTCTTGCTGACATTGAGGGAGATATTGTTGTCCTGGCACCACACTGCCAGGTCTCTGACCTCCCAATAGGCTGTCTCATCATCGTCGGTGATCAGGCCTACCACCGTCCTGTCATTGGAAAACTTACCAATAACCTGCCACTGGCATTAAACAAAGCATGTGTGTCCATGTATGCAGATGATTCAACCATATACCCATCAGCAACCACAGCTAATGAAGTGACTGAAACCCTTAACAAAGAGTTGCAGTCTGTTTTGGAATGGGTGGCCAGTAATAAACTGGTCCTGAACATCTCTAAAACTAAGAGCGTTGTATTTGGTACAAATCATTCCCTAAGTTCTAGAGCTCAGCTGAATCTGGTAATGAATGGTGTGGCTGTTGATCAGGTTGAGGAGACTAAATTACTTGGCGTTACCTTAGATTGTAAACTGTCATATGACAGTTAGATGACATATAGATTCAATGGTTATAAAGATGGGGAGATGGGGATGCTTTTTTGACACCACACTCCGAAAAGCAAGTCCTGCAGGCTCTAGTTTTGCTTATCTTGATTATTGTCCAGTTGTGTGGTCGAGTGCTGCAAGGAAAGACCTAGTTAAGCTGCAGCTGGCCCGGAACAGAGTGGCACGTCTTGCTCTTCATTGTAATCAGAGGGCTGATTTAAATACTATGCATGCCAGTCTCTCTTGGATAAGAGTTGAGGAGAGACTGAATGCATCACTTCTTCTTTTTATAAGAAATATTAATGTGTTGAAAATCCCCAATTGTTTGCATAGTGAACTTACACACAGCTCTGACACACACACTTACCCCACCAGACATGCCACCAGGGGTCTTTTCACAGTCCCCAAATACAGAACAAATTCAAGAGAGCGTACAGTATTATATAGAGCCAGTATTGCATGGAACTCCGTTCCGTCTCATATTTTTAATTTTTTACCAGGTATTTCACCTTTATTTAACCAGGTGTTGAGAACAAGTTCACATTTACAACTGCGACCTGGCCAAGATAAAGCAAAGCAGTGCGATAAAAACAACAATACAGAGTTACATATGGGGTAAAACAAAACATAAAGTCAAAAATACAACAGATATTGCTTAAGTGAACAGCAAACCTGGTTTAAGAAAACAGATAAAGCAACACCTCATGGCACAACGCCTCTCCCCTATTTCACCTAGAAAGTTTGTGTGTATGTATTGATATGTAGGCTACTTGTGCATTTAGTAATTTTTTTAATTTATGTAGTTCTGTTCTTGTCTATTAATGTTCTGTATTATGTCATGTTTCATGTTTTGTGTGGACCCCAGGAAGAGTAGCTGCTGCTTTTGCAACATCTAATGGGAATCCTAATAAAATACCAAATACCAAATGATGGTGTTGGAGTCGTGCGCAGCCACGCAGTCGTGGGTGAACAGGGAGTACAGGAGGTGCCCCCCTGTTGAGGGCCAGCATGGCGGATGTGTTGTTGCCTACCCTCACCACCTGGGGGCGGCCCGTCAGGAAGTCCAGGATCTAGTTGCAGAGGGAGGTGTTCAGTCTCAGGACACTTAGCTTAGTGATGAGCTTGGAGGGCACTATGGTGTTCAACGCTGAGCTGTAGTCAATGAACAACATTCTCACGTAGGTGTTCCTTTTGTCCAGGTGGGAACGGACAGGTTGGAGTGCATCATCTGTGGATCTGTTGGGGCGGTATGCGAATTGGACTGGGTCCAGGGTGTCTGGAATGATGGTGTTGATGTGAGCCATGACCAGCCTTTCAAAGCATTTCATGGCTACATTTAGACAGGTTACCTTGGCATTCTTGGGCACAGGGACTATGGTGGTCTGCTTGAAACATGTAGGTATTACAGACTGAGTCAGGGAGAGTTTGAAAAGGTCAGTGAAGACACTTGCATGTCAGCGCATGCTCTGAGTATGCGTCCTGGTAATCCATCTGGCCCTGCGGCCTTGTGAATATTAACCTGTTTAATGGTATTACTCACATTGGCTACGGAGAGCGTGATCACACAGTCGTCCGGAACAGCTGGTGCTCTAATGCATGGTTCAGTGTTGCTAGCCTCGAAGCGAGCATAGAAGGCATTTAGCTCGTCTGGTAGGCTTGCGCCACTGGGCAGCTTGCGGCTGGGTTTCCCTTTGTAATCCGTGATAGTTTGCAAGCCCTGCCACATCCGACAAGTGTCAGAGCTGGTGTAGTAGGATTCGATCTTAGTCCTGTATTGACGCTTTGCCTGTTTGATGGTTCGTCGGAGGGCGTAGCGGGATTTCTTATAAGCGTCCAGATTAGTGTCCCGCTCCTTGAATGGTGTCTACATCCCAAATGGCACCCTATTCCCTATTTAGCACACTACTTTTGACCGTCCTTAGGGGTCTGTTCAAAAGTAGGAAACTTTATAGGAGATAGGGTTCCTTTTGGGACGCAGATGTTGTCTTCCCTCTCAAGGAGTTCATTCTCCTCCACACTCTTCCACTATAAACACTACATGACCAAAAGTATGTGGACACCTGCTCGTCTAACACCTCATTCCAAAATCATAGGCATTAATATGGAGTTGGTCCTCCATTTGCTGCTTTAACAGCCTCCTCTCTTCTGGGAAGGATTTCCACTAGATGTTGGAACATTGCTGCGGGGACTTGCTACCATTCAGCTCCAAGAGCTTTAGTGAGGTCGAGCACTGCTGTTGGGCGATTAGGCCTGGCTCGCATTCGGCGTTTCAATTCATCCCAAAGGTGTTCGATGGGTTTGAGGTCAGGGTCTGTGCAGGCCAGTCAAGTTCTTCCACACCGATCGCAACAAAATATTTCTGTATGGATCTTGCTTTGTGCACCGGGGCATTGTCATGCTGAAACAGGAACGGGCCTTCCCCAAACTGTTGCTAGAATGTTATTGTATGCTGTAGCGTTAAGATTTCCCTTCACTGGAACTAAGAGGCCTAGCCCGAACCATGAACAACAGCCCCAGATTATTATTCCTCCTCCACCAAACTTTACAGTTGGCACTATGCATTGGGGCAGGTGGCGTTCTCCTGGCATCTGCCAAACTCAGATTCGTCCGTCGGACTGCCAGATGGTGAAGTGTGATTCACCACTCCAGTCGACGCTTGGCATTGCACATGGTGATATTAGGTTGATGTGCGGCTGCTCGGCCATGAAAACCCATTTCATGAAACTCCCAACAAACAGTTCTTGTGCTGATGTTGCTTCCAGAGGCAGTTTGGAACTCGGTAGTGAGTGTTGCAACCGAGGACAGACAATTTTTACGCACTTCAGCACTCGGTTGTCCCGTTCTGTGAGATTGTGTGGCCTACCATTTCGCGGCTGAGCCGTTGTTGCTCCTAGATGTTTCCACTTCACAATAACAGCACTTACAGTTGACTGGGGCAGCTCTAGCAGGGGAGAAATTTGATGAACTGACTTGTTGGAAAGGTGGCATCCTATGACGGTGCCACATTGAAAGTCACTGAGCTCTTCAGTAAGGCCATTCTACTGCCAATGTTTGTCTATGGAGATTGCATGGCTGTGTGCTCGAATGTATACACATGTGAGCAACGGGTGTGGCTGAAATAGCCGAATCCACTAATTTGAAGGGGTGTCCACATACCTTTGTATATATAGTGTATCTCAACCTTCCTACCTTCTATGGATCTCATAGACGGTATAAGATCTAACCACAATAATAATTCATTACTATTTAATGAACTGTATTTGGTGGTATACTGTGGTTGTGCACTCTGAGTCTTTATACGATCCCACGTTACAGAACTCTCACATCCCACAGCTAGAATAGTTTCCAGGAAACCAATATCTCACCTTGAACAAAAATAAGCATTTGATCCAAAAAAAGCTCTTATTTCTCATAGAAATCCTTCATCCTCCATATCTTGCTCAGAGCTATCAGAAGTCTGATTCTATTTCTCATCCTCACCTCCACGGGTGGACTGTTCTGTTCCCTCACACAGGGTCTTTGGGATCGTTCCCTGCACAGTGATAATGGAAAAAGTGGAAAGATTGAATTTCCTGAAACTACTTTTGATCCAATGATTCCAATCAGATATTCCCATCTCGCTTGTTGAATAATTGTGGCCTTTTGAAAATAAGTAATGTACCAGAATACTATTTTGCTTCTGAAAAGAAAGATGAGATAAAAGCGATGGAGATCAGTGCTCACTATGATGTTGTAGTGAGTTACTTCACTGTACCCATAGAAATAGAATCTCATTGTAGTTCTGTGACTGTACCTTTAGTGTGAAGATCATCCTGAATCACTGGCCTTTTAATGAATGACAAGCCTGACATTGCACTTGCTGTTAAAGTCATTCAAAATATCCCATTGCATTTTATGTCACTGATTTGAACAGTAATGCCCTTCTATTGCATTTCCAAAATTGCCTCCATTTCTTGTAGCCTGATCAGTCTGACCCAAGTCCCTGTGAGGAGTGTAGTGACTAGTGAGAAAGTCTGTGTCCTGTGGCTTTACAGTACGGACCAATCTATCAGAACCCAGTGAAAAGCCTAAGAGCATGGCTAACAGTGGCACATGCACACACACCAGTGGTTCGCTAACAAAGAGCTCACTAATTATTTAGACAGTCCGACACATTCCTGTGGGAACACAATAAGACGATTTATAGACCACGCCATCTTTTACCACGGACCCTGTACAGCCACAACAGCACACCTGCTCTGCTGCTAGACAGTATCCACCCCCCTGGCCATAACTTACGCCACCTAATGGCCTAACACTCCCTTCACTCACCAAGGCCATGGCTATGCACCTGTCCTACTCATGCACACACACACACACACACAAGCACACGCATGAGCTGTCCTCCCCTCAGAAACCTCCTGTGATGTGCATAAACACACACACACAGAGACACACACACACACACACTCCCTCCTTCCTCCTCCTAAGGGCCCCGTCTGGGCTTGCAGGTGTCATTTTTGTTCCTAATGATAATGATGACAGTCAGTGAAACTCTTTTAAGTAAAAGTGAAAAGATAAGTTATCAATGGCTAAACTGAGCTTGTGTTATTCATTGACTCTCTTGTACTGGGAGGACACAGCACAATACTGCATGCAGCTGTGGTGGTTGATGTATGACACACACACACACACACACACACACACACACACACACACACACAGCTGCAGTGGTTGAAGTATGTAGTTAGAGAGGAGATGGATGAGGCTGAACAATTTTAGGATGAACTCATTATAGTGGGCAGTCAGCCGGGTCCATCCTGATGGGCTATTTATCTAGTTAGCTGTTGGTCTATTATTTTATATTTTCTTTCCTGTTCGGCTTCTCTTCATTCCTCTTTCTCCTTTGTTGTTCCCTCTTTCCCTTCTCTCCTCTGGCTCTGTGTGTTTTGAAATGGTTATTGTTCATGTCTGACTGTTGTATGTGAGAGAGATAGTTAAAGGTCCAATGCAGCCATTTTTATCAAATCATTTCAGGATAACAATTAAATACCTTACTGTGATTGTTTTCAATTAAAATAGTTCAAAATTAACAAAAAAAGCTTATCAGCAAAGAGCAATTTCTCTAGCAAGAATTTTGCTAAGACTACTGCTGAGCGATTAACCGAAATGTTGGTTATTTTTTCATTTTTTAAAACTAATTGACCGACGTCGGTTCAGTTATCCATTTCGTTCAGTCTTTTTTCTGTGAGCTCAATGTGCACATTGCACTGCAGTTTCTCTAGAGATAAATCAGATCATGCCCGAACTGTGCGATGTAGTAGGGATTTTCCAACGGGTCAATGTTCTACATAGTTTAGGGCAGAAAACGTTATAATGAACGACATAATGAACTACATACCATAATCCATTGCGCGTCTACTTGTCCGGTCTGTGTTTCTTTTGCCTCATGTCCACCAGATGCATAAAACTCTTTGGGTTCCGGCAGAAGTCAATCATTGTCAATGGAGAAGTCTGCAACGCTACGTTGGGGGTGCCTCACTAGGCTGTGGTGCGTTGTGTGTACGTCATGCGTTCAATATTTTCAATTCGTGCTTTGCTTTACCGTGTGGTGGTACAAATGGAAGTACACACACAGACTCCAACTAGCTAGCTTTTAGCTAGTTGAAAAGCGAAGCACATGCATCAAATACAGAAAATTTGAGCTAGCCATCCAGCAAAACAAAACGCATATACATCTGGTGGACATCGGGCATTTTACGCCTGCTAGGTAAGAGACAGATGAAATCGCGATCAAGAGGGGATACATATAGAGTAGGTATTGGTATTCAGCAGTCATAAAAGTATACCTTATTTACTTTGAAGAACAACTACAATTTTGATTTTGTCAGACAGCATAGGCAGCAGCTGTATAGAGATCATCAAATAAAACAAATGTAATATACACAACAAATGAAATATTTTATTAAAGTAAAGTACGGTGAGGGCCTCCAGAGTGGCGCAGCGGTCTAAGGCACTGCAACGCAGTGCTTGAGGCGTCACTACAGACCCAGGTTCGATCCCAGGCTGTGTCACAGCCGGCCGTGACCGGGAGACCAATGAGGCGGCGCACAATTGGCCCAGCGTCATCCGAGTTAGGGGAGGGTTTGGCCGGCAGGGATGTCCTTGTCCCATTGCGCTCTAGCGACTCCTTGTGGCGGCCGGGCACCTGCAAGCTGACTTCGTCGCCAGTTGTACGGTGTTTCCTCCGACACATTGGTGCGGCTGGCTACCGGGTTAAGCGAGCAGTGTGTCAAGAAGCAGTGCGGCTTGGCAGGGTCGTGTTTCGGAGGATGAATGGCCCTCGACCTTCGCCTCTCCCGAGTCCGTACGGGAGTTCCAGTGATGGGACAAGACTTTACTACCAATTGGATATCACGAAATTGGGGAGAAAAAGCTGAATATTTTTTTTTTTTGTAAGTAACGTACGGTGAATGACTGTAGGTTAATAAGTGAAAAGCAGTTACAGCATTCAACCCACATAATACATAGTGCATTTAATGATACAAAAAAAATATCGAACCGAAACCGACCTCAAAAAGCACTAATCGTTCAGCACTAGCTAGGACTGTCTGGGAGTGGTCTGAGTGGGGAGGGGAAAACTGAAAACTAGCTGTTATTGGCAGAGGTTTGGAACTCTCTTTCTTATCGGTCTACTAACTAATTTACCACCTGGCAATATCACCAGGCAGGCCAAAACGCGATCCAACCAAAAAAGCCAGACATTTCAGGTGGTCTTTTCAAACCGCTCTTACGATAAAAGGGCATTATCATAACTTTCACCATTTCACAGTATAATTCCAATCTCATAGTGTGGAAATATATATACAACATAGGAAAATCACGTTTTTGACTGCACTGGGCCTTTAATTATGAATATCTATGATTAATTTCTTAAAGGGATAGTTCATCCAAATTATAAAATTACATATTGGTTTCCTTACACTGTAAAGTAGTCTATTGACAAGGTATGACAGCAATCCATGCTTTGGTTTAGTTTCCCTGGCACTGTTTCCACTTGCTAACGTTTTAGCATTTGTGGCACAAATCCCATTCAAGTCATGGGACCGATGTTAGCATTTTTCGCGCATTATGTTCAAATCATCTATTTGCCTTTTTTGAGCTTCACAATTCATTTTAGATACCTTTGTGTCATTTTGTAATTTGGGTGAACTATCCCTTTAATATTAATGAATATAAACATAATGTATTTATATCCATACAGATATAAACACACACAGCTATGTGAGAGAGACGTGGTCGTCGACGGCAACTGTGGCCGGACAGTATCAGGGTGTACCTCACCATGGCGACCCCCAACTGGACCTCTCCTCCTTGGTCCCCCTGGAGACGGAGAGTGGGGATGGGGAGAAGGTGGGAGAGGAGAACATTGTGTACCTCTGAGGCTGGACAGACAGACAGTAAAACCCTCTGGTTCAAATCCAGGACTCAAAAGACTTGATATGAATTTAGGAAGGCTCAGAATCTCAGACTGGATTGACTTAATGATGGCTCAGACTGGACAGGAAATAGCTAGGCCTACTGTATATCAACCAGGTTTAAAGAAGAACCAGATCTGGCACATATACAGTAATCTCCCGTCCCCATCATGCTTTGCCTCTCTGCCCCCCGTGTTCTGTGCCGGGTGCCCTCCATATGTGTCTCCAAGTGTTACTGCTAAATGTTTATATTTGTCCATGAATGTATAGTGTGTGTGTGTAACTTCGTCCTCTCTGTGTGTGTGTGTGTGTGTGTGTGTGTGTATCCGTCTCTGTTGAGAGTTCAGCTCCAGGGCTGCCACCGGGCCTTTGTGCCTGAGGCCCTCCATTGACATAATCAATTTATCTGTTTCCCCCGCCCAACCCTGCTGCAGTGCATTCCCCCTCTTTCCTTCCCCCTGTATCAGTCTCCATATCTTTGTTTCCCTGGCCCACACTGCCCTAAGTCTGCTTCAGTCTACCTCTCTCTGTCCCACCCTTGTCCTTTAGTCCCCATCTCTCCAGCACTATTTATCTCCCCAAATGAAATGCTGAGTGCAGTCTACTCTGTTACCACAGGGGAAAGAGAGAGAGCAGAGGGTCTGAAATCACTACAAAGGCTGAATCTCTCCAGTGGCTGATTGTCTGGTGAGGGAATGAACTGCTGCTCGCACATTCATCAGACAAGCTCTGTTTACATGGCGAGCAGGACGCGGCAAACACATTAGATGTGAAGGATGAGGTGAAATGCCATGGTCAGAAGGGATTTGGTCCTGTGTTTCTCAGACTTTCTGACTCTGGCCACGCCTGGCCAGTATCATTTGTTTTTATCTGAAGGACCTGTGGTTTTAGGAATGATGTTGTGACCGTAGCGATCTATCAGTGATACAGTAGAGTACACTGCGCTACTACCGCCTATATGAAGTACAGATTTTATTAGGCTCAACTGCATATAGTGGTTAAAAACCATAGGGCAGAAACATTCCTGAACTGTATGTTCATTGAACTTTGAAGTATTACATCTGGGACCGAGTGCACTCTATATGTAAACAATACTTTGGATGTGAATGATTCCAAATATGTCCAAATTTGTTCTGTATGATTATTTTTTTACATAGTTTTCATCATGGCACATATTCCATAGCACATTATTTCTTATAGTTGGTGTTCAGTCATTTTAGGATTTTGTCTGACATATAGTTACTATATTAGCTAAGTTTACATGTCAGTAGTTGTTGGGTAGTCAGCCTGGTATCAGTTTATATGGATCACATCTTTTAGCAAAATCATCACAATATGATTCGTAGCAATGATATCGTAATGGGGTAGTAGGCTATGGCTGAAGGATGACTGATCTAATCTTCTAAGCACTTAAGAGGTGACCTTGCTTTTTACTCGTGGTCCTCTGTAGCTCAGCTGGTAGAGCACGGCGCTTGTAACGCCAAGGTAGTGGGTTCCATCCCCGGGACCACCCATACACAAAAATGTATGCACGCATGACTGTAAGTCGCTTTGGATAAAAGCGTCTGCTAAATGGCATATTATTATTATTATTATTATTACTCAGAGCTGTACCATTGCACTTGAATATTCATGTTCTACTTTAATACCAATATATGTTCTTTAATGACCATTGGCGTGTCCTGAAAGTCAGGCTTTAGCTGTCCTTAAAAGCAAAAATAAAACAGTAGACCTAAAGGACATTGTAGGGTGTGTCCTAAATGGTAAGCTATTCCCTATATAGTGCACTAAGTTTGGCCATGGCTCATGGGGTCTCTGGTCAAAAGTAGTGCAAAGTGTAGAGAATAGGGTGTTATTTGGAAGTCAGCCATAGTATCGAGTTATACACTCGATAGGGTATTGGAATAATAAGTAGCTTCATCTAAGTACATATAAAACAGCACAATGGTTATGTTCAAATGTTGTTGTCAATACTATGTGATACTATGTACTATACTATACTATATCTATGATTACTTTATGTGTATATTTCACTGCCTTCATTTATTTATAGTAGATGAGCTTTATATCGTTGTTTTACAGTACTCCTTGTTGGGTTATGTTGTTATGTTGTAAATAGGATTTGTCTGTAATGCATCATAACACTGACATGTGGTTATTGTATCTTGTTTACATCATTTCTCTGTATTAGATATCTAGGAATATAAATGCAAATGATGTATAATTGATGTGTGTTTTGATGTTTTTATTGTTATTATACAGCTGCTTCTGAATCGGAATGTAACAGGAGGGTAAAACCAGAGAAATAGGTTGAGAATACATTCAAATTCTATGGTTAAAACAACCAAACCCTTTCCATTCAGTATACTGTAACACTACCTCAGTCATGTTGACTTGACTGAGAGAGTTCTGTATACCAGTCAGTGGTTTGAATGTGCCTGTTTATAGGAATATGTTATATGGGGATAGATGGTGTTCAGCTGGCCCAGTTATCCGACCTATACAGACACGTAGAAACACAGACACCTTGATGAATCGACACACAGGTGCCAGAGGTGGCAGGTGGCAAGCCAGCAGGTGCGTGAAAGTCGTCGCTTCACTTTCTGTCTCTAAGGTTAGTATGACATGCCTGCCTGTCTCCCTAAACATTAATAAGACATACAGCCTCCCCCCCACCTCACCCTCGCTCTCTCCCCCCTCACCCTCTCTCTCTCACTCTCTCCCCTCTCTCTCACCCTCCCCCTCTCTCTCTCCCTTCTTTTCTCCTCCTATAATCTCTCCTAGGAGTGGAGGTAGAGGGTTTGCTGATCTCGATGGGTTTGTTTAGTGGGTTTAGTCCAAGTGTTTGATCTCCGTCTATTCTCCAGGTAGCCTCTTTCGTCTTTCCACTTTTTCCATTACCCTTATTTCCCCATAGCCAGCTCTGCCGCTCAAACTGAGATTAGGCTTTGCAATATCAGCGCTTTGAGCCTCTGGTGGCATACCTAGACTAAATGGATTTGTGTGGTGCGTGTGGCATAGGATTGTTGTACTGTATCAGTATGTTGAAGCTGGAGCAGAAAGCGAAAGTAGCATGAAAATGTTCCTTTGTTTTAGTTTAACTCTCCGGAACTCTCACAAAGGGACTCGCTTTCAGGACATTACCATGGCAACCTGACAGGGGCTGCCAAAGGCAGTGAAATAGAAGCAGATGCTGGAGTACTGTGTAAGTGTGTAAGTGTGTAAGTGTGTGTGCACAGACATGAGCTTTTTTGTGGCCGTAATGAGTTTGTGTGTGTGTGTGTGTGTGTGTGTGTGTGTGTGTTCACTAGAGCAGCATGCAGGTCTGAATAAAGATGAGCTCTCAACGGGGGACTGACACACACACACAATGGAAATATCAAAGGGAATACATTGTTAGCTGGTAACTGGTGAGAACAAAGTTGCTAGTGGCAATACAGTATCTGACAATCTGACAGTTAGGTTTCTGATGAATGAGCAACTGTAGCATTACAGCGTCATGATGCTATGAACATAAATATAAACACAACATGTAAAGTGTTGGTCCCATGTTTCATGAGCTGAAATAAAAGATTCCAGAAATGTTCCATATGCACAAAAAGCCTATTTCTCTCAAATTTTGTGCACAAATTTGTTTACACCCCTGTTAGTGAGCATTTCTCCTTTGCCAAGATAATCCATCCACCTGACAGGTGTGGCATATCAAGAAGCTGGTTAAACAGCATGATCATTACACAGGTGCACCTTGTGCTGGGGTCAATAAAAGGCCACTCTAAAATTTGCAGTTTTGTCACACAACATAATGCCACAGATGTCTCAAGTTTTGAGGGAGTGTGCAACTGGCATGCTGACTGCAGGAATGTCCACCAGAGCTGTTGCCAGATAATTCAATGTTAATTTCTCTACCATAAGCTGCCTCCAAAGTCATTTTAGAGAGTTTGGCAGTACGTTCAACCACCCTCACAACCGCAGACCACATGTATGGTGTCAACGTTGTGAATAGAGTGCCCCATGGTGGCGATGGGGTTATGGTATGGGCAGGCATAAGCTACGGACAATGAACACAATTGCATTTTATCGATGACAATTTGAATGCACGGAGATACCGTGACGAGATCCTGAGGCCCATTGTCGTGCCATTCATCTGCCGCCATCACGTCTTGTTTCAGCATGATAATGCACGGCCCCATGTCGCACGGATCTGTACACAATTCCTGGAAGCTGAAAATGTCCCAGTTCTTCCATGGCCTGCAAACTCACCAGACATGTCACCCATTGAGCATGTTTGGGATGCTCTGGATTGACGTGTACGACAGTGTGTTCCAGTTCCCGCCAATATCCAGCATCTTCGCACAGCCATTGAAAAGGAGTGGGACAACATTCCACAGGCCACAATCAACAGCCTGATCAACTCTATGTGAAGGAGATGTGTCGTGCTTAGGAATGTTACAGTGACCATATTACCGCCACACCAGCAGTAACAAGCCATGACTGTGTTTAGTCACGGTAATTAGGCTTCTCCAAGCTCTGATGCTGCTGATGGTCATTAGTAGCCTACCAAACTTGCTAACTGTCTGGTACTCAGCACTCTATTGTCCTGCTAATCACTCTGACATCAATGCAAATGGTCAGCCTTTATTCATTGAGAGCGCTATGATAATCATACAATGCACAAAGTTTTTAATACCTCTACTACGCCCCTATGTGGGCCAATGAGAAAGTTCCTAGCCCATATTTAGGCAATTGTCACATTTCTCTGTAAGCTTGCACAGCAACCCAGTTGTCTTTTCCTGTACCTTAACATATACTCCGTTGCTGGGCAGATATGCATCTTATACAGACACCTAAAATGGGGACATGTTCTTCAGTGTCTAGTTTCACATCCTGTTTTCCTGCTAGCATAGATATGAAAATAAGCAGTAAGGCAAGAAACAGCGCATGCCTTTCTTTTGCGACTTTTTC